TAGGAGATGGCACTCAATTCTGAATCAGTACCCTGGAGTGACACAGATATTTGGGACACACCATGAAGAGATAAATAGAACTAACTTTGTAACATGGTAGGAAAACACCCTGAGTGGTCCTACACTGAACTGCACATGCTGCATGAGACAGAGGGCTATCCTGCGTAGAGTGCAGACAGGCCAGAAGTCTAAGTATTATGCTCTGCCTCACTTCCATAAAAATAAAACTAATTTAGAGTACAAATAAAAGTGATCCACAGCATTACTTTTTCCTAAAGACTTCAGCAACTAGCGTTACAGGACCAAGACTACAAGCACCTTCTTCCACAACTCCAATAAAGATAAATTAACAGGTAGGCAACTGTGAAAGAGCCTGAAACAGGAAAGTAAGTCCCACAAATAAAGAACCTAGAATGCAACATAACTTGGACTTCCTCTGCCTTTATCCAGCAAGGCTGGATCTATCTTCTCTCTCATCATCCTAATAAAATAGCTCACAGTTGGAACATAACTTCATGGCACTGTGCTGAAGTTACCTTGCTGTTCAGGGGTAATGCCGCAGCCATTTCCAGTAGGAGCTTGCCATGCCAGCTAGCGTACACCTATAGAGGAGGTCCCAAACACTCTCAGCATCTACGGCTTTTAAGGTTTCAGAAAACAGTGATTCCACTGCTTCACCTGCAAAACTGACAAAGTAATATACCGTGCTACCAGGAAAATTGAGAAAAATGAAGCTGAACAAGTCCGTTTGTAAATGTCTTTAGTGAGATGACTATCATACCTGGACAAGTTTGAGAAGTGGGCCCACGTGAAGATAACAAGGTTCAACAAGGCCAAGTGCAAGGTGCTGCACCTGGGTCAGGGCAATCCCAGACATGAGCACAGAGTGGTGGAGAGCTCACTGAGAGCAGCTTTGAGGTGAAGGACTTGGGAGCACAAGAAAAAAGCAGGTCTGGAGAAGATGATCAGAGAGCTGGAATACCTCTCCTATGAAGATAGGTTGAAAGAGCTGGGGATGTTCACCCTGGAGAAGAGAAGACTCTGGGGTGACCTTATTGCAGCTTTTTAGTACTTAAAGGGGGCTTATAAAAAGGATGGAGAGCAACTTTTTGCTTGGGCAGACAATGACAGGACAAGGGGGAACGATTTTAACCTAAAACAGGGGAGATTTAGATTAGATGTTAGGAGGAAATTCTTCACTCTGAGGGCAGTGAGGCCCTAGCGCAGGCTGCCCAGAGAAGCTGTGGATGCCCCATCCCTGGAGGTGCTCAAGGCCAGGCTGGATGGGGCTTTGGGCAGCCTGGGCTGGTGGGAGGTGTCCCTGCCCGTGGCAGGGGGGTGGGACTGAGTGATCCTGAAAGTCCCTTCCAATACAAGCTGTTCTATGATACTCTGTATGACTTGCACTTCTCTCTTCGACAGTCTATGATACTGTTTTTAAAGGACAGCCATCCAAATGCCAGAACAAAATTAGGAGCAACTGGCTTCTGCTCGGGAATTTCCACAGAGAGGTGCCACACACTGACTGATGTCAGGGCAGCATGAAATGAGATATACCTGGATTTTAAATCTCCCCAGGGCTGCATGTTCCAAAGACATAAGATCCCTATTTTCTATAAACAATAGTTTGGATCGGAGGGATTTAGAGAGCACATTATAAGAACAGGCAGTTTCAAAATCCAAACAAAAAGCTATGCTCAGCATTTAGAACCTGGGATTTAGTTCAATCCATTGCCATGAGCTGAGCGGTTCCTTCCTGAAAAAGACATTTTGCTTTATGTTAGTTTAAGATAAGCAAAAATAAGGCCTATCTATATAGCATTTGCATAGAGATAAATGAGTCCGGAGCTTGGCGAATTCAAGGGCAGCTACTGATTTCGCTCCCTTTTGGAAAGATGCAGTGCCAGCTCCTTTTCGCTGCAGAGATGACCAGCTCTGGGGGATGTCACCTTAGCTAACAGCAGTGATGGATGGTGCTCCTGCTCCAGCAGCCTCCAGGCTGCCAGCTGGCTCAGCCGTCATACACACGCTGAACAGCACCATTCAGGGCATCTCCACCAAACACGCTTTCTTCTCACCTCTCTTGACTTTTAATCTATTTTCATTTGTTTCTGCAATACACTGAAAGCCTAGCAATTGCAGTTTGCAGTTAATGAGTTGGGAAGCAGTGATGCAGGGCTGATTTTGACAAGCAGGCAGGATTGTTTGCTCACATGCAAGGCTGGGTGGCTTATTTCTTCTACAGCATGGGCTACAGAGGAGAGGAGATGTTGTTGCGGGCATCAGCAGTGACCCCCTCTGGTCACTGTACTGAATAATTTTCAAAAGCAGATAGGAACTACAATTCCTACATCATAGGGCTCCCGTGGTATAGGATCCCCAGCAAGTGAACTCAGAAGAGTGCATCTTTGAGTACAAGAAGACTTTCAGAAAAAAAAAAAAAAAAAAAGAAAAAACAGAAGGGAATACTGAAAATGCACTTTTACGTGCTTGATAAAAGGCAAGGCTAACAGAATATACTTTGTGCAACAACTTCAAGAACTCCAAAGCTGCCCCAATTAAAGATTTTATCCAGCCACATTTATTAATAATACTCTCTTCCAAAAGACAACTCTAAATACAGCGTGACTTTGACAAGGAGTCAGATTCTTATCCCTTTAAATCATTCCACAAGCCGAGGAGTCCTTTGAGACCTTCACTGGATACAGTGGCATTAGCCAGCTCCTGTCCAGAATAAGCAAACTAGCCATGCAATTAGCATGCAACTAATTACAAATACTGTTACCTACAGTCAGTGTTGGAGATGCATTTCCACCAGGTTCTGGACAACCTATCTAAAAATCTATTTGATCACAAAATGCATTAGCAAGTCAATACCTCCTTATTAATAAAAGGGAATATTATAGCATTAGAGAGGTGGGTTTAAACCACTATTTTTGCTTTTCCAGAGAGATGTGAGAGGCCAGCATCTTTTCTAGGACCCATGAAATATATATGAGCTCAGTGCATTTGATGATATTTGATGACTTCACTCAAGCAGTTTGCTAGGACTGCAGAACTTTTATTATAGAGTAAATATCTAGCACCAGAACTAGCACAACAATGCAGGCCTACAGTAACTGCTGCTGAAATCACAGATTGCTTGGGTAACAGCATTTTTATCTTTATACATGTATACTATCCTGCTAGGAAGTGATTCCTATGTTTTTTCGGGGAGGATGAATGAATAAATCTCAGACTCAGCTTTCATTTTGTTACATAGCTGAAACTCTGTGCCTCTGGAAAATAGAGCTTTTAGCAAATTCTCTACATATATCAACCTGTTCAACAGTAACATTAACTCTTATGTAAAGCTACAAAGTGAAGGAGGGTTAATGTCCCAAGCCACTGGTGAGGTTGCAGCATCAGACACCAATTGCACAGCACTATGCCTTTTGAATATACAAAACTTGCCACAGTTTGGAAATGCTGCATACCACGAAGCAGCTCAGGATCTCACAGCAAAATCATGAGCCTCTGCTGTTGCCCTTAAAAAACCCACCACAGTTCCCCTGAAAAGCAGTCACCGGACATTCAGTAAGTGTTTACACATTCCACTCACTGATGGTAGACAAAGATTCAAGACAATGGGTGTTCACGCAATACCACATACGTGGCTATCAGCGGATGATTTGACCAAGACAAAAAGCGGAAAATAACACATACAGGTTCCTCATGCCCACACACTCCGTGGCTTTATGGGGAGTTGGCTGTCAGCCAGCAACATCATGCTGCAGAGCCCATCAGCAATGCAGCAGCCTTGCTTCAACAGCATACCCTGCCCAAACTTTTAAGGGGATTTGCATGCAAGGTTCTGCGTTACAGGAGAAGCTGATGGTCTCACTTTATTCACCAACAGAAGCCACCTGCCTTCCAGGGACTGCACGGAACAGCAGCTGGCAGCATCAGTACCATCAGCACAGTTCACCTGGGCATCAGTAAACGGGCATTTCGTTCCTTGGCACCACTGTTCTTCCTTATGCTCTCCAGCCTTACAGCTCTGATCAGCTTTTTCTTTTTTGTAGTGTGTGTGTGTGTGTGTGTGTGTATATCAAGAGAAGTCTGCTTTTATACAAATTTTGTAAAACATGCTCACTCAGAGAAGGTGAATGCAAAAACTGAGACAGGAAGTCAGGATCATCTCTGCCTTACCAAAGTGAAACAGGCACAAGGAGCAGCTTAGCCAAAAAGCACAGGAAATTTCAAGACAATAATCTTCCCCCTCCCAAAGCAAATCAATGGCTCTCCTGTCACTGTTTTGCCCCTTTTACTTCTCCCTATGCTGCAGAGCAGGTTAACATCCCCCACAGCTGTATAATGGATGCACCTGAACAGGGAGACTAAATTCTACTCTCACTCTACTCTAATTGTTCCTCCCTCTCAAGAGGGAAAACGTGTGCCTTCCTCTTGTAAATTGTAGCTAGCTTTAACTAGTTACTTTTGGGTTTTGCAGCATCACACCACAGTCACGAACTCTGTATTGTCACCAGAGCTGGTAAATAACTAGACAGACATTTCTAACAGTGCCCCAAATGGGGTGATGCCTGTATTACAATGCAGTCATTGCAGAAAAACTGCAAAGTAGGCAACCCCAGAGTGACATAGAAGGTGCTGCTCCTTTCACTGCCCTTTTCCTGGATAAGCCTCTTAACCTGTTCTATTTCATCAAATTCATTCTTGTACGCCAAAATAGTAGGTCATAAAACAAAGAGAAGCTAGCTCATGGCAATGCATGTGGTGAATGCTGTTCACATTTTTCCTTTTAGCACACTGTGTATGCAGCACAGGCAAATAGCTGCACAGCCTAATTACTGAGAAGGAACAAGATGAACTGATTTAGTAATAACATCGCTGAAGGTACAGTGTATGCAACACTAGTTGTTCAGATATGAATTGAGGGGAGCCAACAACACACCGGGGTATTTTTATAGCCAGGCAGTTTACTGTTCTATTTTTACTACCTTCGGGGGCTACAGTTCAATCCGTTCAGCAGCTCATCTGCATTACTCAGACGCATTTCTGTGACACCATCCTGGGTAAGCACCACGAAGGACTGCTCTCCCCATCACGTACGGCTGCGGGCTGCGTGGGTCTCCGAGCAAAGAAAGGCAGAGGCGGATTGCTGGCTGTCAGGGGGAGAAATAAAGAAGCCAGAGCTGGATTAAGCATCTGGAAAATTACTGCAGCCTCACAGCTTTTGCTGCTTGCTACCCAGGATGAGTCATCACTAGTTGCCTTGGCAACGGCTATTTTCTTCCTCCTGCTGTTGATCAATTTTGTCTGTATGAAGGTCCCCTGAAACCAGGAGCTGCACAGATAATGCAACAAAGTCACAGAAACTCTCAGAGAGCATTTGCATTTTCAATCTTGCACCTTAAAGGAAAAGGAGTAACATAGTCGGAGCAAAGGGGGAAGAGAGAAAACACTGTTTTATTCAACCTGCATACCATATCCTCAACAGGCGTGGTTAACAAAAAACCTACTACCACTCCTGCTAAGTAATGCCTATAAATAAAACATCACATCTTGTCCTAGAAATCTACATAAGACACTGAACATCAATGTCAGTTGCTCCATAACCTACACACACGCTCTAGAGCAGAGGTTTGCACCACCAGTTTCTAGCGCAGGGATCCAGAGCTGGCCAGGGAGCTCCAGTCCCTGGGCCCTGCCCTTATCTCTGATGTTGACAGACAGAATGACCCCAGGCAAGTCGCTTCAACTTGGAAAAAATCCTATTTGCCACCTTTCAAGTGCAAAGATATGGTTGAAAAGAACTGAAATGTTGTTGCTTAGCAATGCTGAAGTCCCAAAACAACGCCTATCAAAGTTTACCCTCTCTACCATCTCTCAGAGGTAAGTGTAGATAGATGTCAGATGACCTCTGATGAGAAAACAGGTCCAAGTCTTTGCCTGTTGTGTGGCTACCAGGTTCTACTAAGTATTTTTCATGATGTTAGTCTCTTATCCCTTGTTTTCATCCCCTCCTTTTTATGTCACAAATTAACATCTTCCGAAGGCAGATTACAATGGCTCTAGGCAGCAGCCTGACCCTAGCCAGGTCATTAGACCAGTGACATGAATGGCACAGACATCCACTTGTCTGAGATTAGCTACAGGAATGTAAAAGCTACAGATAAGGCAATCCTCCCAGTGAAACACAAAAAGAAAGTCAGCAAGGGCAGCGTTTGTGGTGCAAACAAAGACAGGAGACTTCATGTTTGCCATGCTAATTTATAACGTCAATCCCAAACTGTTCATGTGCTCAGATAGGGGAGACACTTGAACCAGGAACATCAGATCTTCAACGTCCCCCCGTGCAGTTCTCATTTTTATCAGCTCGAGTCTTTGACACACTTGAGCTATTCCTCTCTGTGGCCAACCAGCAACTGAACGGAGAGCACTGGCATAGTGTTCTCCCTCTCTAGGGACTCTTCTGCTTAACTCAGTTTCCCTAGAGAGGTTCAAGGCAGCATGGAGGCATATAAAGACCTGACTGGCTTGCAAATCACTTACCAGGTTTTCATCCAAACCTACCATCTGAAGCAAGGACAGTTACCTCGTATCCAAGTGCAAGTCAATCCTCTGGAACAAGAGCTTGTGTTAGCACAGTAGGCTAGCTTGGAGCACAACAGCGATCTGATGGCAACTCGAAGCTAAGACATAAGGGTTTTCTTTTTGTTGCAGTGCTGTTTTTGTTTGGTTCTTTTTGTCTTTGAAGTAATCTAGCAGACATGCCCATCTTTTCAGCAGGAAACAGTCTGCCATACAGTTTACCTTCTAGACTAGTCTTGATCTTCAAGCAGCAGTCTTGGCACACTGTGTAGACATTTGTTTGTGAAAGGGTTGAGTGGGTGAGCTTTTTTTCCTCTCCCATGCATTTGTTTTCGGGGATGATGGGATGTTCTTTTTGTTTCTGTTCCTTGCCTGTGGATATCTTATCACTAAGAACAAGATCATGACTTGTTTTATTTAGAATTGGTTTTCGTGCAGAAAAGCTTCAAAAAAACCTTTGTTATCATTTTTCAAAAACGTCTTTTGATCCTATAGACTGTGACTTGCTTGTTGCCCATCTCCAAACTGCTGCAACTATAACACTGCGTTCCATTTCCTTCCTTTCCCAGCATCACGTAGTAATCATATTATGAAAGCAAGTCAGGCAGAGGCGCAAAACAAGAAACGGCAATAGGAAGGATTATGATCTCTGGATTCCCCCCATGAAAACACTTTCAGCCAAGCACTCCAGGCCCTTTTAGATAAAGCTCAGGTATACGACAGTCAACAGGTTCCTCTTCATAAGAGAATATGCCAGGACTGTGCTAATATGGTTTTATTATTGTTAATGCTAGCTCCTTGTGCACACAAGCCTACAGTCTTCACTATGTGTATGTTTTTCTGATGTCATTTACATTTCTTTGAGTGTCCACATAGTGAATTACACTAAGACCAGCACCAATTCCAACACTATAGAGTGCTACTGTGAAAGCAGACAAAAACAAGGGCAGTATTTGTGGTGTCCTAGGCAAAAAAAGGATCAGGCAAACACACTGAGAACTGCTCATCCTATACTCAGTACATGTTGATGTTTCCCTCATTCCAGTCTACCTGAGCTGAAAAAACAGCTACATGAAATGGAAGCTATTTACCCAAGTTCACCTGTGAAATTTTCACTACAGGAAATAGTAATTCTCATGGTACCCCCTGTGGGCTCCTTAACCACTGGACTCGGTGACAGAGGAGTAGTAGGCAGCTAGGTAGCCAGCTCCAAGTTCTGCTCGTTCAGCAATATTCTCTTCCAGGGTAGGGGGAGAAGAGAGAGAAAGGAGGAGTACTGGATATCAAGGAAAGACACAGTGAATGCTGGCTCCCCCTTCCTGAATTCATCAGGTATTTTGCCATTCACCCAAATTTCATTTCATGCTTTAAGTTCTCTAGCATGTTGCTAGATAGCTCCAGACCTAAGGGCAGAACTGAAGGAAAGCTCCAGAACTTAAGTCTCTGACTAAACTTCACACATCCTTGCTACAAGGACATGATCTCAGTGGTGAATAGCCTTCCTTATCACATTAGCTTACTTACCAGTTTCTAGAATGACGCCGCATCATTTGGTCCAGAATACAGATAGGAGGCAAGGAGAGGGAAACACTTCAGTATCCTGTAGTATAGGTAATAAAAAAAAAAAGTTACTAGCTCTTTTCTCCTCATCCAGTTGAGCACAGGGTGAAGACCCATCAGCTAACTTTTACCTTCGAAGGTGGCTAAAAGCAAATTATGAGCAAACAAGTTTCCTGACCTGGTCAATGCTCAGAAAGTTTTGCAGAACAGATTAACTATAGCACAGACTCACAGGAAAGGTAATCCTCACACACTTAATCTTTCTGGATCAGAATTTGCCTCAGATATGGAGCTAATCAACTGAAGAACTAGGACTGTCAGACCGTAATCTGACTAACTGCACCTTCAGAAAGCACGTGTTCTTTAGCAGCATACATATGGGAGTTCTGCAGGCTTACACCGCCGCTCTTTGCAAACTTCCACCAGTAGTTAGTTAGCAAAGCACTAGGCAGCTAACAAGGTATTGCAGTTATTTCACGCCTTTGGTACTCAAGCAGTTTCTTTCATCACTGGAAGCAGATAGGAACATCGCTTCATTATGAAAAATAATTGCTTTAAAAAAAAAAATGGAAGCAGAGTTTAAGTTCAAAACATTTCTCATATAAGGAAATACAGAAAGCAGAGTACAATTCTTCAAGGAAAAGCCACTGGTACCACAAGTTCACTGAAGATCAACAGTGCATAAAAATAGAATAGCATCTAATATCATATAGCAATTGCCATATCTGGAACTTCTGAAAGCCCTGTCCCAAGTCACCAGGCCATTTAAGGTGCATTAATGTGACACTACAGGCACAGTACAAGAGGAATAACTATCTTAAAACATAATAAAGAATTCCAGAAGAAACAACCACATTTTGTATTGACAAAAAAAAAATACTTTGTGTCAGAAAAAGGATGGTGCAGCCCTGAAAAGAAAAGTTATTAGAAAGTGTTTAATCTGAGTTTATAAACCATAAAACCCACAGCTATCACCAAAAAAAAAAAAAGGAGATGCTTCATATAGAAACAGGATACATGACTTAGTTCATTCTGAAAATAGGAAATCTTTTAGAAAAAAATAGGCTTCTCAAGCTCCAGAGTTGCTATATGAACAAACATGGCTTAACAGTAAGAGAAAAAAAAAAAGCTTTGGTGAAATAAACCTTTTCTCATCCCAGAAAGATGATATCAGGGTATGGAGTCAGTGCGTGAGCACCAGATAGTGAAATCAAACATAACTACAGTGGAGTTCCACTCACATTTCTTTGAGAATAAACACTAAAACACAATTAACAGAGCATACAGGCCATTTGAATAATGTATGATGTTCTTTCAGTCCACAGGGATTATTAAACATAAAAAATGTTTTTAATCTTACTAGACAGCCTCTAAATATAGAGCAACTTGTATTTAAAAAGCTTAACTGGGAGAAGATGTTTATATTCCAGCCCAATACTCCCATTTTCAATCTTTTGGTGCAAGTTTAGTGCTAGTGGAAACTGTCCTGAACATTTTGAAGACCTTGCCTCAGCATGGACAGTAACAGCATAGATTCCCAACAGCCTGGTCAGTGGCTATTAGCAAGGAGAGGAGGATTTGGAATGCATCTGAAGCATACCAATTTCTTAAAGCAGCCCTTGGATATTATTATTTTTTATTATTTTTTTTTTATTTTTTACCAAAATTGACAATAAGAAAGCAAAGGAAAGAAAGCTCGTGGACTGTTGCATCAATGTAACCATACTTTGTTTAGACTGCTGAACATCTGAACATCCTGAAAGACTGTCCTCCACCGATCTTCAGAACCACCTGGGGAAGTTCCAGATGTCTTTGCTTAACGCGCTTCAAGTGGCTAATCCCATTTCACAACTGTGCCACCATCATGTCTCCCGGTCCAGGTCAATCACTTTAAATGTTAGCACCTATCAGCAAAAACTCAGTCCAGAAACAGCGCTGATTTGTTACCACAGCAACAGTTATTATGAACTTGCACCTCCTCGGCTACCAAGGGCCATTCTGAAAGCCTCTGCTCCCTCTCAGCCCACATAGGATGGGGATACATCTAACCATGTATCTGAACCATGTCTGAAACTGATCAACTAAATTGACATTAATTCTCTTCAGACACTTATTTTTTATTTTATTATAGTACAGAAAAAGTAAAAAGTCCGTTTCTACCAGGGATTGCAATTGCAGACATGAAGCAGATGGGATAAAAGCAGTGGAGCCATTTTTAAAGAGTAACAGAGAGCTAAGCAAGCCCAAGGAAAAAGGTTAAATGCTCAAGCACAGGATACAACATACCCAGCCAGTTCATTTACATCAGATCTGCAATGCAGAATTGCACATACATGAGATATCAGCTGGTACTACTAGACATCAGGTCCCACTTGGAACAAGCACGGACTTTGAGATGTGCTAGCCAGAAGCCTTTCCTTACACACTCTTCTTCTTTACTATTTCTTGAGCAAAGCAACAAAAAGAAAATCTGGCCCTTCTTACAGAAGTCAAATCCCCTCTGGCAGTTCAGTGCAGAGGGCAAGAACACAACCCTCCCTACTCTAAAGGATACTGCAAGTAGGCCAGAAAGGACACCACATCCTGACACCTCCTCTGTCATCATCAAGCACATGAAGAAAAACAAGGCCAGACAAAGCCTGGAAGTTCACTCAATTTGTGGCGTGAGTAGCCCAGCACAGCCATGATTTCCAGCGAGCATCCTGTCCAAGGCTGGTCATACTTATGGCTCAGCTTTCCAGATCAGATATTGATAAAGCCCCCTTTGTGACTGGTAGTTTGTAAACTGCTATTGGAACCTATAAAACAAAATATCAAAATACGAATTATTCTCATTACTGGATGTGTATTTATGCACTACTTCTCATGGACTACAGGAGAGTAACCATGTCTCCAGCCAAAAGCCAAAAAGCTTCCCAAGAAACACGAGCCTTGCAGTCTAATAGCAGACTAATCACATCGCTCCGCCATTGCCTCGTTTTCTGTGCCTCTACCCAGAACTCCTGTATACCCTAATGCTTTGCTATTCTTAGTGACTGCTCAGGAACAAGTCTACCAAGCAGAATACATTACCCCATCACTAAAAGCTGTCACTTTATAAAACAAATTTCCTGGGATTGCATAAATTATGCCCTTGAGTGGCATGTCAGGACTGCTCTGCTGATGATTTTCCGTCTCATTCTGTTCACTGTTTGATGTTGAGTCTGAACAACATACTTGAACCTAGCCCTGGGGTCTAGAATGCAGACCTACCAAGAACAGCCAGCAAAGACTAAGCTTGGTAAGAGACTGAAAAGGGAGCACATAAGCTAACTATTCTTGTGGAATATTAACAGAACCCGCATTCATAAAGCGGGTTTTAGAGCCAATAATGGTCTTCTCACTATTTTGGATCCATTTATATTCTAACTTCCACAAAATATAATAAATTTAAAACAAGCTCCATAATTGCGTTACGCGCTACAGGAAAAGATGCTTCTATTCATCAACCAGCAGGTTTAAAAAAAAAAGTCTTTTGGGGGCACTGCCTCCAATTGCATTACAAGAAATTGCAAACAGCCTTTCCCTACTCATCTTTAGCACATCATTAATAGCACTCCCCCATATCCTACTCCTGTCACCTCTTCCAGGGTGAGGTAAAAACTACGTAAGCCCTCTTCTAACACAGAACAAGCACAGTCAAAGTCAGAGACTTGCTCCCGTTTCCTTTTTTTCTAGCTCTTACATAATCTTTTTGAGGCAGAGTTGTTAAAACTGACTACTTAAAACTGTATTAAAAGGGTAGGTTACAATACTGACTTGCATGGTAACAGAATGGATGCCTTAACGTCTATCTTTCCCCACAATTCCTTACTTTCTAGCTGCTGTGCCCTAAGCAGTTTACAAAATATTCATAACAAACCTAACATCCTTCCTGTTGAGTACTAAATGATAGCTTGTGTGTGTATATATACACCTATCTGGCTTATTTATGTGTTGTCATACCCCACCCAGCGGCACTAATCACCTCACACTTATCAGTTTCCATGGGTATTATCATCCATAACAGGTCCACAGCAGCAGCATGGACAGACAGTTGTTTTCAAGGAACGTGACCAAGATTTAACACCTTACTCCCACCTCCTAATGAAAAGCAGTCAGAGACTAGTGTCATCTTTTAGCCTGACTGGACTATGCATAGCCTGCTGAGCTCATATTTTATTCATTCCACCACACACTGCCTTTATATGCACAGTGTGTTTTAGGAGATACTCCTGTCACAGCAGTGCACTGCAGAGCAATTGTGTTGCATCACCCTCCCTCTTCAGGGCATGCAAGGAAAAAATAATTAATCAAAAAAAGCAAAAATAACTTGGAAACACCCCTAACCTCAAAGCATTCAGGAAGGGTTACGGTTATATTAATTCTGTGCCACTGGAGTTAAATACACTTAAGCCCTTGGTGGAAAAAGAATGATAGATGTCACAGGAGTTTCACTTTTCGTAGAATACTACGGCTATGAAGCTCCCCTTCCCCCCACTAGTAGTGAGCTAAAATCATACATGCAGATGCTTAATACCATAGCCTATCCCAGCTTTCAGATCCACTGAACATCCCTGCAGAAGTGTTTTTTTCTTGCATCCTCTCAGCTCTATCACCAGCGAGATCTTCTTTCAGTCCCATGCTAGTCATTAAATAGCCATCTAACACCACCTGCTGGATTGTGAAGAAAAAAATTATACCAGCAACTTGCTGCCAGGGAGAAAGAAAGCAAAACATGAAGGTGCCTGGGGCTTGGCTTTGACTGGGGTCCCCACATCAACCCCACCCCACACCTTATTTTTTCTTTCCTCTTTTTGAAAGGCAAATCTGGGCTGCTGGCATTAATAGGCAACCGCAGGCAAAGACAAAAAGTCCTCTGCTCTGGATTGTACAAATTGTACAGGGGCTGTACCATACAATTATGCTTCAAGACAACTGCTGATCTGTAGTCCCGCTTTACCCCTTCCCGATTAAATAAAAAGAAAGTAACAGCAGAAAAAGAAGCTACCCTGAAAGCAAGCCTTCTGCAAACTCAGAATGCAATTTAAAAGGAGGAGCGCAGAAGGAGCTGGCACTCCGTTGAAAATCCAGGGCCTCAGCATGAGTCAGAAGCTGGGGATGCGGAGCCTGTGCAGTGAGAGGAAGCAGCCATTACTTAGCACAGACATCAATTCTTGGTTTCTTGCATCCTCTACAAAGGGTGAAGCACCAGTTATGTCACCAGCACGCAAACATGTATTTTTCACAGACTGCCAGGGATATTTTTAGCACCTAATTAGGCAGCTGCCACTGCTGCAAGAGGATAGCTTTTAATTGCTTATTTATGGCAGGAGACTGCACCCCCCTTTCTTGTTTCTTCAGGTCAAATTTATTTCACACATCACCTAGCTCCTCACAATACTGGATGGAGTGGCTAAGCTTTCTTCTTTCACCAAGGTGAAACACCAGCTTGGCTGAAATTAAATTGGATACAAAGCGTTCTGGAGGTTTGGAGTTTCCTACTTCCCACTCCTTTCCTCTCCCCACTGTTTTCCTATTTTCATGCTTAAATTAAGGATGAATCACGTTGAGCAGTTATTAGACATCAGGTAAGGTAAGGTCCTCATTGAGTCAGCAAGACGTGGTGGTAAAGGACAAATTATCCTTATTGAATCCTTACTCTATCAAGTCACTGAAAGTAATGCCAGGATTTTACCCTGGGTAGCTACCAACGCATCTCTTCCCTTATTCGAGTTTTCCTAAGCTCCAGGCTTTCTGGAAGCACCCAGATTTCAGCAAAGCAAATCTCGCAGCACTAACTCTGCGGGTTCAGATAATGCTGTAAAAGCTCCAAGGAGCTCTGACTCACAGGATCCCCACAGCAGTAAGGGGAAATAAAGGTCATGCCTCATGCATCAGTGCTGCCCAGAGTGGAAGCTTACCTTCTGTGACAGAGGCAAGTATGATGGTGAGATGAATTTGCTGATGCATTCCCAGGAGAGGGAGGGTAGGGTTTTGTGGCACTGTACAAGGCACTGGTAAGGCTGCCTCAGAAATGCTGCATGCAGCTCTGCTCACCAAGTTCAAGAGAGATGAATTTCAACTGGAGTCAGCACAGAAAAGGGCTCTAGGATGAACACAGCACAGAAAACCTACTGCATGAAAGGGGTGGGAAGCAACGCCAAATCTTTCCTTGGGTAGCCAGCAAAATTAAGGCTGGGACTGCAGTTTCAGGGTGTTTTATCTGCAGCAGCTTACTACCAGAAGGGCAGTCCTGCTCACCCCCATCCCACATTCTGGCCACCTCCTTTATATCGGAGGAGTGCAGTCAGGAGCTGGTGCAGCTCACCCTGCTGCTGCAGCACGGCTGGATTTGACAAAGGGAACAGCAGGACTGCGCAGCTAAGGGGAAAGCAAGCCTCTCCTCTTTCAGCAGAAGCAGAGCGTAAAACTGTCTTAAGAGGGCAATTTATGAAGTGCTGCTAAGTACAGCAGTTGCAAAAAAAAACACAGAAATGGCAAATAACAAAAGAAGAGACAAGTAATTTCAGCTAGGGGACAATGCCAGCCCAAGAATAAATCATTATAAATTGCCCATAAACACATTTGCGCTGGAAATAAGCTTTCTAAACATCAGCCTTCTCACTGGGCTGCTGGAAACAAAGCCTCAATTAATATGCCAATAAAATCTTGATCAGTTTATAAAATGGATTGTTTTCCTTCCAATGGCAGGGGACAGAGCAGGCACCTGAAGGCTCCTTCCAATCCTACATTCCTAGCTTGATTTTTTTTTTAAATCAGTCTTTCCAACTGAAAAAATATTGAAAACATTTAAAGGGCTCCATTAACTACGTTTTTTGCTGTGAGCAACATCAGAGGAAAAAAAAAAAAGCTCTAAGCAATTCAAACTGCAGATTCAAATAAATCCAGACAAAGCATTTTATTGCTTGCTAACCGAATATATCAGAAGCAGCGTGTCCCTTCTGGAGATTTGTCTTTTTCAGGGCAAAATTGGCTCAACTGACCAACATATGTTACAGAAATTGATTTATTTTTTTTTGGTCTGGTTATTTGCTTGTGCAGAGAGGATCTTTTATAGCAGGGGACAGCAAAGACCCGAGGACATTAAAACGCATCAGATCCGGAACACAACCAGCTTCCTGACTGCGAGCTACTCTTATGGAAAGAGTTATAGACACAGATCATCTGCAGACATGCATAGAGCTTATCCCACGGCTAAAATTCATTAGCCTAGAGACACTGCAGGGTTTTAAAGGAAGATGTTCAGCTGGTGAAACCCATTCCACAGGCACGGTGACATTTCACGGTGACTGAAAACCTGCCCCTGGACAATTTGGTTCCCTGATGCCTGACCACAAGCAGCCAGCTCAGCCCTTCAGCCTGCCGCGTTACAGCCACCTTGTACAGAGCAGGCCTGTCCCAGAGCAGCGCTCCCTTAGACTAAGCACTCTTCTGCATTAACAAACATGCTGCCTCCCATGCACTTCAGCATTTAGGAAAGGGAAGGAAAAGTATCACTATGTAACCATGTAACTCTCCATCTTGGCCCCGTACCCACTCACTCTCAAGGATTTAACCTGCTGGATTTGTGCAGCAAATGCTGTGCCAGCCCCTGGCTAGCTGGGTGTCAGACGAGGTGCCGCACCAGCCAGCCTGAGGGAGGAGTGCCTGCACAAACAGTGGGCAAGTGAAGGCCAAGGGGGTTGTGCTTTTATTCAAGCTGTGCTGACAGGGCACTGGGCTACACTATCAGCCACCACGAAGTCAGCTGGTCCAAGGGAAGGTGCTTTGCACCAGCAGAACAGCTGCCTTCAGGATCTAACCTCATCCTGCCACGCAGCCACATGTGTATTTCATACCTGCTTCACACTCACCTTTCATTTCATTTGGACAGCTGCAGGTCCACTCTGATCACGTCTTACCCGGCCACTACCCCTTAGAGCATGAGCTGAACAGATGCCAGAGCAAAGGAAGTTCAGAGATACAGCACCTAAAAAGCAAAGTCATAACTTCATGCAAGGGCACACAGAAAAAGGAGGAAAATAGCATAGCTTTTCCAGAAGTGTTTTGTTTTTTTAACCCAAACATACACGTAAGTATGCACTTTGGATTTATAGAAAATGATTCACTGACTTTTTTTCCCAGTTAGCTTCAAGCTTTTCTTACCGACTTTCCTGGAAGAAAATTTGAGCAATCATAGTTCTAACAGACCTAACATTTGTTTAGGCATCCTTCCTTCCCCATCTCCACTACCCACCATAAAAAAAAATAATCTAGAAGTTTCCATATTCCAGATTGAGACAGAAAGCAAGATAAAAGTACAGAGAAAAGTAATAGTAAACATCTCAAGTTTAGGAGTTCAGAACCCTTAAAATAAGTTTTTAATATTTAGGATGTTTTTTTTTGTGAGCCTTTCGTTAGAAATAAGGACAATTACTGGCATTCAAGCATCATTCTGAACATTTTAAACCTTTGGCCTCTCCAAAAACATTTAAAAATATCAATGACAGTTTATTTATTTATTCTTTAATTCTTTTCAAGAAAAAGCTAATATTTTATAACAGCAGCAACAAAAAAACCTCTAGGCATGAAGACCCTTACCTCTTTGCATACATACACACCTAATTTGTCATCTCACCAGTACATGCAAATTTAAGCCAACATAGTTATTTATCCTTACATTTGTGACTCAAAGCCCTGTTCTCCCCGCAAAACTCATTTAGGAAGCACAAGAAAAAAAAAAAAAAAAAAAAAAGAACAGGCAGAGACTATCTTGACTCAGACTGGCTTGCAGTTTGAGCATGGAGGATAAACAAGCCACATGTAAGTGGAGGTGAAATGGGTGATCCCCATTTCTCCAAGGTCCCACCCAAGACCTGTCGTTCATACATCAACACTCCTCAGATGGCATCATACAAGCAAGGAATAATCTCTCTTTTTCAAACAGAGTAGAGAGTTAGAAAGTAAAATAGCTCTCTCCTAGGCACAACCCTCTCTCTCCAAAGTTTTAACTACACATACAGCACAAGCCTGACATTCAACCACTGCCCTGTTATCAGGGATATTTTTAGCATCACCATTCCAAATGTCCAAACACAGCACCCATACCCATAAACAGGAAAACTGCAAACACATTTAAAAATGGCCAGGTCAGTAGCAAGACCACATTGCAGAAATTCTTCATTCACCAGAGAAGACCACATCAGCTGCCCTCCTATACACAACCCAAACAGAAACTGACCACCTAGGCTGAGCTTACAGGCTGTGGGGTGGAGACCTCAAATGAAGCTCATCAGCCCAATTAAGGCTTGTTAGTGCACTCAGAGATCTAACCAAACCAAGGGTTACAGTGAACGTGTGGTTTAAATAAGGTGCTTTGTTAATGTCTCATCATTAGGAAGTTGTGTTTTCATATTTTGTGTTTCTTACATCACCTTTAAAAAGCAACCTAGCTACTAGAATGTAAAGTACAGGAGATACAGATTACAGCAGTCAGCAAGCACCCTGTGCCTGGGGGATATGATTCTTCATTCCTTTGCTAAATAAAAGCGAGGCACCATCCCCAGCTGCAGGGACAGCAGTGGCACAGAGATGTGGGTGCTGGTCCTGCCTGTCCTCCCATGTTTGGAGCTCCCGCTCACCTGGGAGCTCCTCTGCAGTTTGTTCCATGCAATCCACAAAGTCCACAAGCCCTGGTCCCGTCAGCAGGTCTGAACTTGGCCTGAATTTCAGGTTTGTCACAATTATAAAGGTAAGGTGAATAACGTGGGACTTTTCCTGATTTTTCACAGCAACCTAGAAAGGCCAGACAGCTTTACCCCTGTTTCATTGCAAATGGACAGCATGGCAAACAGATTTCTGAAATGTTTTAAAAGATTTTCTGCTGTACCAGCCAGCACTACAGGTTAGTTAAATATCCCAAGTTGGAAGGGACCCACATAAGGATCATCAAGCCCAACTCCTGGCACCGCACAGGTCTAGCCAAAATTTTAGACCATATGACTGCTTCCTTCTAGGAGTCTTGCTGTGTTTTGGGAACACCAATAATGCCCTATTCAGAGCTTGGCTCCCAGGTCTGAGAGTACTAGGAGAAGATGAGACAGATGATCCAACATCGTGGCCCTGAGACAACAAAAATAGCACCCAGGCACCTGACCTGTGAGCCTGTAAGTCATTTATGCAAAATCCTACAGAAAGTCTATGAAAACTCTAGGAATTCTGTCCAGATAATTCACATCCTAGTAGAGTTTGCTTTTTTTTCCCATCAATTCTTCATTTCCTTCAACTCAGCATAAAACCACTCATACTTCATGCTAAAGTTACACCTGAGATTTTCAAGATAAGAGATAAAAGATTTTCAAACCATACAGTAAGCACTAACATGTCTGAGGCAGGGATTGTTATTTATTGTTGCTACAGGCCCTGCAGACTATGACACACCATAGCTACATCCGTTAGGCAAAAACAGTGCGTCTGTACCATTGTTTGTTTGTTTGCTTGTTTTTCAGAAGGATGAAATTTAACCTATGTATCTTTTTAACTGTTAGTGGAGACAAAGTTACATAAATATCCTTTTTCATCTATATTTTTGCCTTCCTTCAGAATACTGACACTGGTATAAGTGCCTTTAATTAGCTTCAGCTGAGACTCCTTGCTGGGGGATGTGACTGTATGCGATATGCTATACGGCTAAAATATAAACAAGGTTAAATATTATCAGCACTAGTTTTAACAGTAGACAAACATCTATACAGAACCCAGAAGTGCTGCATGATTTACCCAAGGATGAGAGTCCAGAGTTGACTTCAAGACAAAACCACAGCTGTGCCCTGAGCCAAGTGCCTAGTACAGAACTTTTATGTGGACAAACAGCAGAGGCTAAGTTTAAACTGACACAAATATTTTACTGCTTTACAAAATTCTGTATTTTTTCAATTTTTAAATTGCTGTTAGCTTTACTACCATCTGTTCTTTCCCAATTTCTGTGTTTGCTACATTCTAGCAGACAGACGGACAGAAAATAGATGTTTTGTGGCAGAACAGGTAAAAAATGGCAGATAACAAATACCTGCAGCTAGGCCTAGTCTTCTCAATGCTACAAAGTCCCTTTTTCAGGTTCAGAGGAGGTGACACAGCTTCCTTAAACAGGCAGAACTGTGGGAACTGATCTGGCACTTGGAAAAGTGCTGTCTCCTCAGAAAATCTAATTGCTCCAGTTGTAGATTGAATCCTAATGCAGAAGTAAATTGCAGGGTAAGCCCTGCAAACTGTACAGCATTTCAGATTCTAGCAAGGATACATATACAGCAAAAATAGTTCAAATCTGTATTGAACACAAAGCTCTAGATACTTCAAAAATAGGGGATGCCAAAAAATCAAGCCCAGATCCCAGAGACTGTTACGCTATTGTGGAGAGCCCACACCGGGAGACAAAGACGAAAGTAAGGATGCACAAACACAGATTACAAGCAAAGTATCTCTCACCTGCAATCTACAACTGCCCTCCTGGAGGAAAGTATTGTAGTAACATTAACTGACTAAAAAAAAACACCTTCGGAAAAACAAATAAACAAACAAACAAAAAAAGATCAAGGCCAGAACGGAGGCAGAACGGAGTGTAGCTTACAGTGTGCCTTTTATCAGCCAACTTTCTGACAGAAAAAGAGGTGGATAGCTGAAGGTCGGGCTGGAGATTCAGCACGGAGCACCTTTCTGCCTCTTGTCAGTGCTGAGCCAATGCCCAAGCAGAGTACAGAAGGCACTGCAGAGCTTTGTTGGCAAAAAGCAGTCTGTAAATGGACTTGCCTTTGCCTAGAAAGTGTTTTGGGAACCAGGCTGTGTTATTTTTATTTGTTCTGTTCACCAGAAACCCGTCCAAACTGTGTCACACAGCAGAGGGTTTCTTCCCTGCTTGCTTGCCATGTATTTAATCAAACACGCAGCCTTCTCAAAAGGCCTGTTGTGTTTTCACAGCAGTATGTACTGGGAAAAAACGGGCAGTCATCCTAAATCATCTATGCAGCAGGCATGACGTCCTCATTGAACAGTCCCCAAAAAGCCTGAAAATTTATGATACTGAACTCTTGATGATCTGTGATTGTTCGCACTCTCCCCAAAGGCCTTACAGAGCACATGCTGTATCAACATGCCATCTCCTTCTCTCTCATGACAGCCCTCCCCAGTCATCATTTATACAACTCAATTCCTGGTGCCTGGAACCTAGCACACAGACAAAAAAAAAGTCATAATATTGTGTGGGAAAATGGGGAAAAATAAAAAAAAAAAAAGCCATGCAACTCTCTCAGCAAAAGAGAACTTGGAAACATCTCAATCAAGCCCCCAGTGAAGGATAAAGTAGGTAGAGCTGCTGATCAGTGACATAGGGTCCAGTACAGCCATAGAGGCAGGGCCTCCTGTGGAGGAGGGGTTACAGCCCACTGAGGGTGTGAGGCAGGGAAGTGACTTCTGAGGAGGTTACCTGCTGGTCTCTGTTGGTAGAGGAGGTGCTGATGTCTTTTGATTGATGGGGACCCAGGGTTGGCTCACCAAGAGGCACCTGAGCTGGAGCCAGGGACATCAGGAGCTGGTGCATATCTGCCTTCTGGTCTTCTGCCTGTCAGGGAGCAAGGAGGGATGTTCCCTTAAAACTCCACAGTTGTGGATGGGAAATTTGAAGCTGTATATACCTTCTGTTGGCAGAAGAATGGGTGTCTGAAGTGAGGCCCATTGGCTTTCTCATGGAAGATGGGGAAGGAGACCTGGCAAGGAGAAGGTGAGGCACAACAGGTGTCACACTTCAGAATTTTTGGGATGGGACTGCCTAGGCTGCTGTGCAAACATGCATAGTAGACCAGCCATCACCACAGAGGTTGACAGGTATCAACCTTCCTCACAGGCTTAGAGTGTGAGCTACCAGGAGAGCTGCAGGTTACACTCTGAGGAAAATGCTTCTCTGTGTTCCCACACTACAGCTGGAGGCACCTCCTCACCACCCCGGGGGCAACACCAGCCTGAGTTTCAGGGAAATAAGGCCCAGGGGAAGCACTTGAAGGGAAAGGTACCTTCCTCAGGTCAGGCCGGCGCCTCACCACGGCATCTGGGGCTTTTCATGTTGCCAAATCCCTGGCCTCGAGCCCCGGGCACGGCCCTGGCTGCCAGCCGCCATTTGCCCCCTGCTGGCCGGCACGTCACCTGCACAAAATGGCGCCGCAGTGGCGGGAAAATGCGCGGGAACACCCGCAGGGCAGGGCAGGGCAGGCGCAGCCCCCTCAGCACAGCCCCGCTGCCATGTTCCGTGAACGACGTCTTGCAGGAAGTCATGAGGAAGCGATTAACTCACAATATATAAAAATTGGGCACTGGGAGTGTTTTTTTGTTTGTTTTGTTTTGTTTTGTTTTCCTCTTGTGGCAGTTTCAGTTATCAGCTGTAGCAACGTGTGAAATAAAATAGTTGTAGTGTGTGGTGTGACTGGTGAGGAGAAGTCTGTCAGATCAAAAATGCTCGTTTGTTGTGAGGGGAATGGCTTATATCCAGTTTAAGGGGCCTTCTTAAGGGAAGAGGGTGCCACAAGCACCTCGACAGGCAGCTGCGCTGTAAGCAATTCCACTGTGCTGGGGAAAGGAGGTCTGCAAATTTTAAATGGCATTTTGTCTTGCGGACGTGTGGCAAAAACTTTCTCCATCACTCCTACTTGTCTTTAGAAGCAAACTGACCCTAGCTACAGGCCAATTCTCAAAGCCTTTATCAAAATAGCAAAATGTCAAGGTATTTTTATCCTGCCATGTTGTGTTGCAGGCTTTGGCGAAATCAGACTCTGCAATGACAAAAACTTGGTATGTGTCTGAGACCTCAGAACTTTGTGCCTTCTGTGACATGAGTCATGACTGCTTTTACAGGGCTAAGAAAAATGATTCAGCCTCTTCATTCTGATCCTTTTTCAGTTCCCTCAATCCTATGGGACTATCAGGAAAGCTAATTGGATTTTCTTCTCGATTGTTTATTTGTGAAATAAATTCTCATGTTGCCTGAGTAACATCTTGCAATCACTCTGCTACTGTAATGCAGTATGTGAGAAAACTAACCCATTATCCAATTCATTAACTGTGAAGAAAGCATAACAAGTCCTGGAATGTAGATAAGTCAACACTTGCCATTTTTAGCATCTCCAGACATTGTATGTATACTCAGCACACGCTGCATGCATGGGGAGCTGAGCAGCCAGAAGAGGGTAGCATAAGTTAGTTAATAAGCCTCATCTGTAAAGCAGAGCTATTTGTGAGAGAAACATCTACTTGCATTTCTGTCTGCAAGGTAGAGAAAGACAATATTGAGAAACTTTTCACCGAGCTTTAGACAGAATTTGGAAAGGCAGATTTAAAGTCAGAACTGACAACGATTAAATTGATAGTAGGCTACAGAGCTTTTCACCCTCTGCTATTAGCTTCTGTTTGACCAATGCCTCTTTTAACAGAAATGCACATCCAGAGCAGCTCCATGACTTTGCTTTTAGCCGATAGCAGCACACATCAGTCAGTAAAACTAACAGCATCTTTAGCACATCCTGGTGCAGTGCCTGGCCTGCAGTAAATCTGAAAAGCCAGACAGGGATGTCATGAAACTACATAGCATTGAAAGCACCTTAGGGGGATGATGAATGGAGGGGGGCTAAGAATGTAAAATAAAAAAAAAAAAAAAAAAAACACCTCCACACATCTGACATCAGCATGGAGTAGAAGGCTAGAGCCCATCTTGTAATCCATATTAGTATGTTTTGCTCCTGCTCACTTCCTTGGTGCAAACCAAGTCATTAGGCAGACCTCTGCAGAACTTGATAGGACTTGCTTGGAGAGGTGGATGAGAGGACAAGGTATATCCAGGGGTGTAACTTATTCACATTACACTAGTAGTTAGAAGGCTCAAGCTTCCACTATGCTAGATGTTGTACAGTCACATAGAAAAGGAAAAGCTGCACCCTGAAAAGAGAAGCTCAAACAGACAAAAGGTGAGAGGGGAAACAGGTACCAAAAAAAAAAAAAAAAAAAAAATCAAGATAATACAGCTGGTTACTGGCAGAGAAATAGAAAATTCCTGTCAACTTGCTTCTGGCAGAGTTATTTTATATTCCTTCAAAGGCTGCTAGGTAGAAAAGACTGTGATGTGTGTTTACACCCTGGAAAGGAAACTGAAACCATAACACACCATTGATTGATATTTTATTTGTACTCTGTACCTGAAGCAAAGTGGAAATGCAAGCTGAATATCTTTTCTATAAAGTCTTTTCCCTCCACCCTCTCAAAAACAGTACATACAGAAAACATTGGAACTTTTAATTTCACATCAGACTATAAATGCTAAACCAGATGCCCCTCACCTGCTGCTACAATGCAGCCACTTTCTCAGCTTGAGTTTGTCCATTATCCCTATAGCACAGAAAGAGCACAGGAGCTGGAGAAGGTAAAGAGAAAGAGAGTAAGAGAATACTGTATGCAGGTGGCATTAGGGTGTCAGACAAATCACATCCCCTGAAGAGCTTAGTTTCAGGTATTACAGAAACCCTCATATGACAAATTCAGCAAGTCTTTAAAGCAGTGCTGTCCCTTCAGATTACCAGTTGCAAACTTGCTCACAATTTCCTTGGACTTGGTCTTTAGTTACAGAAAGGACTCTTCCAAAACCACATGCAAATATCTAACCACCATGTCTGCTTCACGCAGTCCCATGTCTCTGATTGTTTTGATGTGATAAAGAAGCAAAGCCAACTATAAAGATTCTTTCTGGACATCATCCTCAACGATGCAGGAAGATTACAGTAACAAGCCAGTTCCTTTAACGTTTTTTGCCTTGCATTATGCATTTTGGTTTCTCTGGCACACAAGAGGTACATTATGCAGTGATGCTTGGTGAAGAGTTTTCTGCATACATATCCTTGTTCTGAGCTGCATTTCCAGGGGATCCTTTGCCATTTGTGTTACTCTTGTTGGTCTGAGCTTTCCTGGTGAGCTGCCTGTCCATTAAAAGGAGTGTGAGGATGTCCACGCAGAGTCGGCTAGCCTGGCTAGTGTGGTTTCCCCTTGCGCTTCCATGCTGCCAGACACAGTTCCCTGCAGAGGGATTTGGACTGATGAAGATGCAGTGGGTAAGGGGACATTACCCCTCAGAAACATGCTTGAAGTGCTGCTGTTCACCTCACTTCCTGGATTGGTGACATTTACAGCACTGTTGCTCACTGTCCACAGACAAGGGTAGTGGCTGAAAAAAAGAAAAGCAGTACAAATTGAATGACTAACTTCAAAGCATTTTCACCTGCACAAGACTTACTTCAGTAGTCAGGTACATTATCTGCTAAAAAGCAGCTATCCCAATCCATTTACTGAACTAGGTAGGACTTCCAGGTCTTAAGTGAAAAGCCACCAGCGAGCATTAGACCTGGTGACCTTTAAGAAAGGCATGGAGAGAAATGTGTAAATGCATGTGAGGTTTCAAGATATTTTTTTTTGTATATGTTTACATTTTAAATAAATTCCGCTGAATATGCTGGCACCTAAATTAAGGAAAGGAGGGTGAAATATTTGTTATTAACTGACTCTCTATGTCTAAATTTCAGCCATTCCTAGATCTGAGGACTGTCCTGTTAACAACATTTCCATAATGTAACATGAATTAGACTTTGTTGCAACCTTGCAGCTGAGCAAGAGTAATTATTTCATGCAATGCAGTAGTGAGGATCAGAGACAGAAAAATAATTTGGCTTTAAAACTTCTACTGATTGTAGATGCCTGAATTCTCAGTGGCTATTCCAAGATCTTTGTTTTCAGAAGTGCTAGGGAAAAACGAAGTGTCCATTGATTTCAGATGGAGCTGAAGACAATTATCTTGTTAGAAAGATCTGTCCAAGAATCTCAAGTTGGACACTTGAACATGTTTTAGGGGTGGGACTGGTTAAGAAATCAGGCATGAACAAAGCCTTATAACAGTCCTACAAGCCTCACTGCTCCTAATATTAGCAGTTTTCCTGAAACCTTACCTGGGCCCAGGGCTGGCAGCTCCCTTGGTGTGTGGCACTGAGAGCAAATTACCATGTGGAGAGGATGGCAAAGTCCAGCTGTCATGTCCTGAGAATACCTGAAGATTATTGCTGGAGCTTTCCAATAAATTCACTTTGAGAAGAAGAGAAAAAAAAAAGAAAAAAAAAAAAAAAAAGAAGAAGAACAAACCCTCAGTGACTATTGCAGATAATTATCTTAAGGCAACAGAAAATGGGTAGGCCTGAGGAAGCTGTCTGATCATGGGGTTTGGGTTCCTAACCACAGGTAAAAGGATAAAATTCACTTGCTTAGTAAGGGAGTAGCAACGTGCCTTGTAATTCCATTTATATGAGAAGGCAGTGCGAGAGATGTAGAGTGTGCATTTTTTCAATAATCTAATAGTCTCTTGATAACAATGATTGCTATATGACTGTCAATGCTTTGATACAGGTTTCTGTATAACTTGAGCTTAAATATTTCAGTTAAACAAGATGCCTTGCTAAAGTATAGTTAGTGAACAGATTACTTTATCCTTACTCTCATTTCTGGCTAATTTCCTCCAATCAAAGTAGGACCAATTTCTGTATCTCCACACCCAGGTCTAGAGAGCAGGTGGGACTTGAAAGACATAACAAAACTCTCTCATCTCAAGTCAGCTTCTACCATGTTCCTAATGACTGCTGCAATTTGAGAGGGTGTCTGCTTCGTGATACAGCATTGAAAGAAGGCTTGCAATGCTCTGATACTTTTGTGTAATTGGGAGCTGTACTGCAAGGAAGATCATTCACTCTTGTTTATAATTAGCAATTACAATGCACCCAGCAATTCTACACCATTTCTTTTGCTGCCTTAAGCATATTCCATGCATCCAGTGTGCAGTTTAGATTGTTAGAGACCCATCATGCTCTTTCCTAGCTTCTGCTCTTGACTGTTTCACTGCTTAGGTTACTAAAGCAAGGCTCAGTTAGTCTAACTGCATCTATTACCTGGAAACAAAGCGGATTTACAGATCTACCTGTAGGTGAATGATTTCTTTGCATGTAGGAAGGTGGGTATGGAGCAGCCCGATGACCTCGCAGTGCTGAATATCGCTCACAACCATGGGGAGCGTGCGGAGCTGGCAGAGGCAAGGGTCCACCGTACTGATAATTAGAGCTTCCTGATGCACACACTGTATCTGGGTTGGAAATCAACCAGCCACCCACTTTGAGGGAAAAGACAGAAGAAAACTATTATTGCACTAAAACATAGCAGTACAATAAAGTAATAAAGTAACCAGCCTTCCTGCAGAATCAGCTGTTCCTCAGAAATACCAAGCCAATTCTGAAATACTGGTTTGTGGAGCAACTGACAAGCAAGAACCAACCAAAACAAACAAACAAACAAAATAAATAAATAAATAAATAAATAAAACACACTAAAAACAAGACCTGAAAACAAACTAATAGAAAATGTCACTGACAGCACAGAACAAAGAAATACTGATTGTCATTAGAATGAGCACAACCTCTGCTCCCCCCATTTATTTTTTTGAGCTGTTCAATAGTGAAAGGTAGTTTTATAGTTTTATAGATGACAAAAGTCCTTACAATTACAAAACAATAGCACTAAAAATAGCCCTAACATTTCTTTAATGTATCTTTTTTTCAAGGTTTTATTTCATATCAAAAACTGGATCATAAGGAAAATGATCCCACTGCAGAAAATATCTCAACTTCCTACTCTAAAATTTATTGTCTTTTTTGTTTGTTTAAACAGTCCATTTCTATAAACACCGTTCAGGACTCAGTGAACCACTGGTCTGATCCAATTAAGCAGATCCCAGGTTCCCAGCATGTATCATAACACATAAATCTTCCAGCTCACATGAATAAAAACCTTACAGTGAGAATATGTCATATGTTGACCTTCAGAGACTGCTTCTGGAGCATCCTTGGGATGGTTTCTGAAAAAGAAAACAGTGGTAAAAATTCTCATTGAGAAATTATCAAAGAAATTTAATATCAAATTTAAAAACTGAAAACTATTCACTAAAAATAGAAAAGTAAATTAAATAGGAAAGAACTCTATCATCTTTAACCACTTGCTAGGCAGCAGTAGACTTTCCTGCATTCTGCCATAAAGGAAGCACTTATATTTCACAGCATCCATACTTTTTTTTTTTTTCTAGTCTTGCCAAATTCAGGGACAGCCTAGAATTTAATTCTACCTGTGGGCATCTTTCCTGCTTGCATCAGCAGCCTAAGCCTGGCATCACTCAGACTGACGCAGGGCTCTGCCTCCTGCACAGCCAGGCAAGACAAAGGCACGTTTTTCCTCTACAGATGGGAACCCTGATGCTGAGACACAGCAGCTTGATGTGAGGAAAGGAAAGAAATGCAGATTTTCCTTCAGGCATGTGGGAGACATCACACACCAGAAGACATAGCAAGTCTGGAAAAAATTTATTAGCAATTATGGCTTGGAGTTCATCATCTGGATACCTCAGTGCTTTAGCATGGAGATGTAAGGGAAACTTTGATAGAAAATTAAACCACAATTTGTTTCTAATAATGGAGGCATCTCTTACATAGTGAGCACCTGCAGGTTACTTTCACTAAACGCATCATACACATCATACACTACCATACATACATAGCAGTGTAGTTATATTACAGTTACAGTGCAATTTCACTTCAGTTATTCTTTTTGACATATGCAGCTTACATTTACCATCCCTGAGCTATTGAACTGCGGGATTCATTGGAGTGTGAGTACAATGTAGTGAACATGTGTGGTGTATAACATCACTGGGGAAATTCACAGTCTCATTTCAGGCTTCCTGTGCAGACAGTGCTAAGTTCTTGGATCCCAAAGAGGATACTTACTCACCTCAGACCCTACTGTGGTAACAATTATATAGAGAGTTTCCCCACTAGTTTCAGTGGAGTGACTCTAGATTTAAGACAGTAGAAACAAGAGTTGTACAATTTACTTTTGCATTATGATGCCACAGCTTTAACCTTGTCAGCAGCAAAATATTACTGGAACAACAACAACAAAAAAATATTAACTCACCTTTCTTTTGCATCCAGGAAGGCTTTGGCAAAGGGATTATACTTGATTTTGAGAGCAGTTATCTTGAGTTTACAGAAAACAAGGCATGTTAGTGAAGGCAACTTGGAATAGAGACTTGAGAAAACATCTTCCAGAGTAAATTAAGTGGAACTACTTTGGCTAGCCAAACAAAATACATCCCCGTGTATTGTTTCCCAGGGGTGGTTAGAGGGAACTTTGCTTGTTGCAGGGTGCTATGTACTGATCAGTGCCACAGGCAGAACACCAATAGGGGCAACCTAATTGCATGGTCCAGTCTGCTAAGTCTTGTGGGACTGCAAACCCTTTAAAGGGAGCCGAAGCAATTAATTCCTACCAAATATCAATCAAATCTGCAGCAACACTTGCTGAGGGATATGGCATATGAGTGAGCAGTTGTCACAATCTAAAGCATCCCGCAATTGCAATTTTGGGGCTGGGAGGAAATTTTCCTATGGAATGATACGCTGTTCTGCAATTGTACGTATTTTAAAGAGAGGAGAGAAAAAAGATTATCATTAAAACTGTAAGTCACTACTAGAGAAAGTTCTGGACTTGACTCTAGTCTTATGTTTTTGTTTTTGTTTTTGTTTTTTCTCTCCAATAAAGGATTGGGATACCAAGACAAATGGACTAGTTTGCAGTAGCAGTGGCAGAATGTTAAGCTAAATCTTGTTTAGTATTGCAGCCAGATGCTGGATTAGATAATGTTCTACTGCAGAAAGAAGACAGTAGTAGACCCATTGAGCATTACACTGCATGGGACTGATGGAGAAACAAGAAGAGGACCAGTCTATCCATACTGATCTTGTAGTTAATAGGCTTTTAATATATCTCGTCAATGATGTCCAAGAGCACAGCACGGCACCCGCCTACCTCTTCGTTTTGATAGGCAGTCACAGCTATGAACTGAGTCTCAGGGAAGGAACAGTTCATCACCATCCGGTGGGGGCCTCCTACACGAACTATGTGTACCTGGGGCTCGTATTTGTGCAGAGAGTTCAACATTATCTGCAGAAAACAGAACAGACAGACAGACCCCATTGCCACTCTGGTACCCCACAGCTGCTTTCACTCCTGCTCTATAATAAACCAGACGTCACCGCTAAACCTCTCCAGTTTATGATTACTGAAAGCAGAAGGGCAGATGCCTTCCTGCCTTCTGACAAGCCACAGGATTGAACAGAGAGAGACTTCACTGGACTTGGATTTCAAGCTTTCAATACTTTGTGGTAGCAGCTAAGGCCTTCAAACCATTGGGTTTCCAGTGAACAGGTTGTTCAAGCAGTTGAGGGACAATCCCTGTCCTGCCTTGGCTATCCAAAAACTCAGAATTACAGTCACAGAAAACAGGGCAGAAGAGAGTTAAGGCAATCGCCTAGTCATCTTTCTGGGCAAGACCTACCTAAACAAGCTTTGGCAAATGTCTCTACCCTGGCACTAAAAGCTGTGCATAGTGTCAATCCTACAATACATGTATACCTTCTTCAGAAAGCTTAAGCACATTAAGCACATTGCTTAATTCTCTCTAATACAAGAAAATATGCTTAAAATTAAGGAAAAAAATGTATTTTGGAAAATGCTGTGTGCATGCATACGTATATGTGGAATAACAGCCAATAGCTGACTAAAAGTGCATTCTGCTAATAACACCACAAAAAGGGAAGATGAAATGCAGTGGGAAAATGGTTTACCTTAACAAGGCTGCCAATATTTCAAAAAGAAAACAAAGAGAGCTTCAGCTGTTTGCCATTTAGTTAGCTTTTCTTTGGACCCTGCTTCTTCTTCGGCTTTTCCTCCCTTCCTTTCTACTCTCTTTCTCTTTACTGTGTATACGCATCTTGCTCCCCTGTTTTCCCCTCTCCAAGGTCTTTTTGACCCTCTTGGCCACAAAAAAGGTCAAGGTTGTTTGTTTGTTCGTTTGTTTGGGGGGGAGGATCCTGTCCCTTTCTTTCTGTAGCACTTACTTTTCTGAAGCTTTTAACCTTTCTAAGGTCCTGGATGCAGGATGAGAATTCACAAATTCAGATCCTGTTTTACACTACACAGTAAGTCTTGTGTGACACTTCCATGTGTTACTTTAAAGAAAGTCTGGTCATCTTTCTATTCTTCAGTCGGCAAAAACTGAGATAATTTCCTACCTAATTAGGGTACTAGGTTTATGTAGGTACCTCACAAACCCAATGGAAATAGTAGGTAGAGAACATATAATATTTACATAAAAGAAATTGATTCTGGGCTGACAAGTAGCATCCAATGTAGGAGTTTTGTACAAAAACAAGCAAACAAAAGGTCTTGTGCAATATTTCATCTTTAGATGCATCATCAAAAACGAAATACGAAACATAACTAATTTTCCTGTTTGCATTTTTAAGGGGTTCAAAGAGAAAGTCACTTATTTCTGGTACATGTGGTTTCTTTCCAAAGGCCAAAGCTGATTCAATAGAATATTGATAATTATCATGATGCAGAAGCAGACATAGTAATTATTTCATTTAGGAGCAGCCTTTTATTCTGCTATCTGACTCCTGCCAACATTCCACTTACACCAAACAACATGGGGGAACACAACAAAAACCTAATACCCGTGACCATTTTTTCCCCCTTCTCTGAAGTCCTATGTAAAAAAACCCAGCACACAAGACCAACTCTGAAAAGCCCCCTGATGATTAAGTAAACCACAGCACTCTGTCTCTCTTAACATCAAGAAGTCCATTAAAATCTGAAAGCGCCAATTAAGGCCTGTTTATTCCTGTTTACATGTGGCCTCCAGAGAATAATTGGCATCTGTGGGTGAAGAGGCCTGTAAGGGCCTCTATAATTACATAAATGCACCCTTGATATTTCTTGATTGGTAGGTGCTTGCAATTGAAGCCAAGAGGTGTATGGGGAAACATCAGGCCATACCTGCCCACTCCCATTGAGCTTGTTGGTAAGTTTGACTTTGCTGAAGGAAATGGCAGCTTTCATCCAGTGGGCCCCAAAGTTGGGAGAATCTGGGTGGATGTAGACACAGCTGTGGTTTGGTGGCTCTGGTTTCCCAGCTGGCACCCATTCTCCATTGACGTACTTCCAGCGGTGGCCGTCAGTCGGGGCAAAGTCCAACAGGAAGGAATACATGGCGTTCGGGTCCAGGCCTGACACACTGATCTTCAAAACAGGGAACATCCGCCTGTTACGGAAACAAAACACGGAGACACTGCTGGAAACTGGTTTTGAAAAACTCTTCTCAGTACATTTGTGGCCAGAGTCTCACTGATCAGGTCAATGTAAAAACCATCCTCCCTCCTCTTCAACCCCTAACTCCCTCTGTCTAGCTGAAGAAAATTCTCTTAAAGGTTAATCTTTCATTGTATTTTGATCATTTGAAAAAAAGCGTTCTGTCTGAAGTAGGGCACTAAGACCTTCGTTGTGTCTAGATTCATGAGTGTGCCCAATTTATGAGCTTTGTAATAGTGTCAGCAGAGTCCATGGGATACAGATAAATTTAGTAAAATGTATTTTTTTTATTTCCCTTTATCTTCCATATTGCCATTACCTTTTATTTCAAAACACATCCTGACCTAATATTACAGGGATATATTAAAAAGAATGTAGTTAGCTGAAACATGTTTTCTCTCTTTCTTAAAGAGAAGTATTCACATATTGTTCCACTATCATTATATAAATCTTCAGTTTGAGAAATCTGATTAATATCCTTGGTGTTAGACCTGAAATCCTGCTTTTGTTTAGTTTTGGAAGAACATTTTAAAGCATCTTTTTCCTCAAGTGGATCCTTCTACATTTAAAATTCCAATGCCACCCTTTCTCAACCCCTTTTTAGTTATTTTCTGCCTTTGTAAAGATTTGCAGCAGTTCTCAGTTTTCTCTCTGCCCTAGTACTTGTGATCCATACCACACAGCTTTGAATTGGCATCTCTGGCCTGAGAAAGTATACAGCAATGGAATCAGTAGGGCCCCCCCACAGTTTCAGGAACTAGGAAAAGACAGCAGAATAGCCCTGACCCAACAAAGGTATCCTGTGTAGTTAGATTCTTAGGTTGTCCAGTAATACACATCATTGTGGAGGATTATTGTAGCTGTTCTATACCACCTCCTGCATTCTTACAGAAGGGTGAGGCCTCCCTGCTCCAGGGACCTCCATATTGACCTCTCCTGGCACTCATCATTTTGCCACATTTTTATGCACAGGACAATGAATCTTTAAGCTCTTTTCCTGTACAGATTCAGAGAGAGGAGTTACACCAAGCAACCTCAGCGATTGCCTGATGTCCATGGGGATAAGGTGAAGAGGTTCTCTAGGCTTTGTGAAGCAGCAGCACAAGATGTCTTAAAAAAAAAAAAAAAAAAAAAAACAAGAAGGGAAGTGAAACTTCACGCGCTCTCTCCAGGGACACCAGAAGCCCCTTCCCCAGGAGCCATACTCTCCAGCAGCCTCCACCTTGAGGCTGCTGACAATCTCCTTTGCTCATAAGTTATCCTACTCACCCCCTACCTTCCTGGACATTTTTATACCGTTCTTTCTGCATACAGTCAGCACCTTCTGCCCACAGAAAAATACAGTATTTGAAAAAGGGTTTTCATCTAAATATAGACAGTTGGTGATGAAGGGCCAACGCAACACTGAGAAAGACATGTTGAACCATGATCTTGCTAACTAAATAGAAGCTTAGTTGAGGATTTACACGCTACATTTAATGTGACTTTCTGACCAGGATGCACCAGCTATCAGAACTGGAACTTCACAAAAAGTGTGCACGCATTGCTCCCAGCGCAGCCTGCTGCCCCTGCCGTCAGTCTGCAAGGTAACACACAGACATATTTAGCTGAAATTAAAGTAGAGACGAAAATTCAACCTCATGAAAATTTGATTTCACTAGATTTCTCAGAACTCTGTGTTATGTGAAGATTGTTAATTCCTCTGCCCACAGTGCAAACTTCTCTGCCTTTCTACTTGGGAGGCTTGAGTTTATCCCCCAAAGGTCTACAGGCTGTTAATGCCACAACAGAAGTCATCATCCAGCTCTAACATCCTGTACCACATAGACTATAGCACTTCCCTGTATTAATCTGCTTCCCACACAATTAATCCACATCTCATTTGGACCAGCATATCTTGACTGTGCAGGTGCTAATGACAGAAGACCTACCACCTCACTTGTTCCACTGATTAAGTGGCTTTATTGTTCAAATCATATGCTTTAACATGGCAAACGATCATTTCTCCACATTTGTTTCAGTCAATTTTTGTTTCAATGATCAGGTAGGCACACACATGACCTCCATTACTGCAATAGCTGAGTACTTCAGCCTCTTCAATTTATTTAGAGCAGATCTGCCACAATTACTCCATGGTACAGAGCTCAAGTGGGAATGTTTGATATCAAACTTGAACATGTAGTAAACTAGTAAAGTTGCTTTACCATTTAAGCCTTTCCCCACACTCCTACCCACGTTTGTCTGCATTGATCGATTACAGATCCTCCCCATATACAAAGGGGCATAGTGGCCCCTCCAGGCAATAAGGTGGATTGTGAAGTTTCAGAATACTACATAGCTGAAATGGTATCCACAATAACAGAAAACATGCTCAGTTAGCAAATGGGGTGTTTGAATATTGAAATGCCAATTGAATACAATAAATCTGAGTAAAATAGGAGACTGATTCTCACCATATGAGCTGCACCTTTTTGGATATATCTTGTGATACAGCATGCACTTTATTTTTATTGATATCTGTCCTGTTCAGAATATATCCATCTTCCCCATGTACTTAAGTATTTTGCTATGACAGGTGATTATTATAGTGAAGCACAAAGCGGCAGCGGAGAAGTATCTGTGTATTAACACTGAAGTTGGTTCAGAACATTTTGGGACCCTCAGCACAAATTAGAGATGACTCAGTCACAGCAGATAGAATTACACATGCTAGAATTTCACACTTGAGGATCACTACCCAGTCAGTCCTGGATGCTCCTGTGTCGGGTTTCGGTTTAATTTCTGAGTTTTGCTTTCAAACACACAAGTTCAGACAGGGTTTTCTTCTTAATCTTAGAAAACAGTTTTCAAAAGCTCTCGTATATCCTTCAGGAAGAATGACCGAGTTAGTTCTACTGATTTAAGCAGCAGCAAAATTGGATCAATATTTTTTCTTTAGAAAATCCCTCTGGAGATTGTCACTGAAGAATCCTGCACCTGAAAAAAAGCTCAGGATTCGTGGCAAAGTCTCTCAAGTTGGTCTCCTTTTGAAAAGCATGGAGTTGTTCAGAAGGTTTTGCTGCAGGCCACTGTCTGTATTTCTTTTCTGTAGTCGTTGCACTGACGTGTTTGTTATGGATAATACCTTCACCCTTTTTCATAGTCCCCAATTCTACAAAAGCTTCGTTATAAGGATTTATGCAAATGACCATAATACATTTTTGTTTCTTTTGAGACTGCTGTACTTTGATAATAAAGAGTGAACTTGTACCTGCCCCAATGACGTTACTAGAACTCTCACTGCCTTTAAGGAAAACCAGGAGCAAACTAATAAGGAGAGCACAAGCTGGAATGAAGAAAAATAAAGAAGCTTCTGCAATAAAATAAAAAGTAACAGTGCATATTCAAATAATGGCAGATACCCTTATCAGCAGTAGCATAAAAAGATTATATCCATGCATTCACCTAAAAGTTTTAGAGAAAAAATAGTATCACCTGCAATCACAACTAACATTAGCTGAGAGAAAAATAAATAAATAAATAAATAAAAGAAAAAAAAGAGAGTAAAACCTGTCAGTATGACACAATTCTTTGTATCTATTCAATTTGAGGCAAACCTACCTTACTACATTTTGGTTACTTAGGCTGATAAGGAGTCAGTGTAAGCTACCTTAATGCTAAGTGAAAGTCCACTCAGAAGTTTGCTCTAGCCTAACAGCAATTAAAAACATTTAAATTAAGCAAAAGCAGCTTATTGGGGTAAGGAGAGCCTCAGCAGAAGATGAATTCTGTCCCTGTAGGTTGCTAGGAGGAATCAGTGGCAATCAGCAGCGTTACACTAAGAGCTGATATTTTGGGAATAGAATTGCTTTCTCAACAAAATAACCTTGGTGAGCTAGATTTTTCCTCTTTTAAACTTTCACCCATGTCCCTTGTTGGGATACAGTCAATAGAAATATTGCCCACAAGTTCTGCTAAATCAAAGTCTCTGCAAAATTGATAAAAGTGACACCACGTGAATAAATCTTTCTTCCTGTCTCTTAATTCTGCTCCCCTGTGCAGATCTTCCAAGGGGTTTTGCAAGAGAAATGTGTGCATGGGGACAGGGAGACAGAGTTGGTGAGGGTAGGCTAAATAAAAATGTTAATATGACTGTACAGGAGAACCTTCCTCTAGTTATTGACTAGACTCTGTCGTCAGCCCAGTTCAGAGCAGAGCATCTCTGGAGTGCCAGTATCTGATTTGGAATTAACATTCTTCTCTCCAGGTTTTGCACACAGCAAGCAGTGAGATATCACAATATTTTATCTTTTCAAATCTCTGTATATTCACCAATATTCTGCAGTGGTTTCTAAGTGCACCAGTTAACGCTACAGAGCAATACAGTTGTGGGACCACACAAGCCTGGACTGTGCATACATGCTACATAGAGTATAACCACATCGTACCCCTTCCTAGTAAATTGTGCAAACCTCCAAAGCCAGGGAGACAGGAACAGCAGCTGGGGATAACACCACGGATCTGCTTCTGTACAGTCATCTGAGGTCCACAAATAAGGACTTGCTAGTAAAGGCTAATGGCTGGTGGTACAAGAAGCGATCCAGAAGGTTTTGAGGTTTTCTGCTCCCCAGTGAAAGTTTCCTTTTTGTGCAACCTTAACTCAGTCAGTATATTTCTCCAGCACATTGCACAAGCAGGAATAAAGGCTGGCAGGAATGGCTTAGCAGAAAAGAGCAGGGACACCCCGTTCTGTTTGTAGGGGACCAAAAGGCTGCAGGAGTAGCACTGTTACACGCTCATAGCAGTTCTCTCTAGCCTCACACACGCTGCTTGTTATCACACCCCTTAGCCCCCCTGGCTGTCATCTGCACTTCGCCACAATGCGGAGCAGATCACTCACCTGCCGTTCTTGGTCACGATCATCTCATTGGTGACTTCCCTGAACCTCTGCCAGAGCGTAGCGTCCTCTAAGACGACCTGGAGCTGCTTCTCAGTGGGGTCGCCTTTGTCTCTCCCAGCCCGGAGTTCGCTCTCCACTACGCTGAGTAGCCTGGAGACAGTGCAGTCACTGGGCTTTTTGCAGCCCAGGTCTGCCATGACGACTTGACTGCCAGAAACTTCGGGTGGCTGTTAAAAGACAGAAATCGTCAGCCGAATCTAAAAGCAAGTCAGATTGTTAGGCACCGGCTGACAGTGTGCTCTCCTCACTCTTTTGCCACTGACTAGCTCTTTCGTCTGGAAGTCCCAATGGGCAGTGACACCAGCGCGTGCAGGTTTACGCACACACTCCACACAAAAAGAGGACTATCTCCTAATTACCTGTCTGACGGTCAGGTGGGTGGCAGGCTGATGACTCAATTGGCTGCCTTGAAAGAAGAGTCCTCCATCCAAATTAGCATGCTTTTATCTTTTTTCAACCTGAAGTGGGTCTAATTGTTCTGCTTGAGAACCAGGTTTCCATTAATGAAAATTGTTTCATTTCCAGACTGAAACAATGCATGGAAATTGCGTTCGCGCTGATGCGGACTCTAGCTGAAGGAGCTGGTAACAGTCAAGATAGTTACACAGAGAAGGTAGTCTTAAAATATTTTCACTTGGCATGTTGGATAAACACATTAACTTTGTTCCTCCACAACCCTAACTAAAATGTAATAGTAAGAGACCCTTCTGCACCAAGGTTTCAATGCACGAAGGGAAGGTAGCATCCCTATACTCTGCAATTAATGTATACTCTGTCCATCCCTGGGTCCCCAACATCTTTCACAAAACCCCTTATGAGCACTTCACCTACACCTTACGAGCACCTCAGCTCCCCTCTGCATTTCTAGGGACAGAGCCCGCGCTTCTAAGGCTGGGTATGGGCATAACTGTCCTGAGGCCTGGCAGTGCTGACCTGCTCGAGGTCCACTTCATCCAAAAGCTCCCTCAGCATCCCTAGAACAGGCATTCCCTCTCCTTTCAGCCTGGGACTCCCTCTGGCAAGCCTTTTCCAGCTGTCCACACCCTCCACAAAGGGCAGCCATGAAAGGAGCCACCATTTTACAATTTTACAAAAGAAGTCAAACAATTTCAGCACTGAGCCAGGGACATGAGAAACCTGTGTCTAGTTCAACGCTGAAGGGCTAAGTGAAGGCTATGTGAATACCACTGATCCGTAAACGCTGGACTTTGGCACAAAACAAGGCATTTGAGTGCCTAATTTCTCCTGATGCATCTAGCTCCAATAGCGCCTGTGACATTTCTGGTCTGCTGGACAAGACGTAGTCAGGGACTTGATTATAAAAGCATACTTTTGCAATTTGCTTTTAGAGAAATATATTTTCTAGTTACTCATTGAGAACTTTGCATTTGTTTAATTCAACAGCCCCTCTTGAATTCTGGTGCTCCCAGTTCTTTCTAACAGATGAAATGGCCTGGTTTCAGGGCCTACTATGGATCACTGATGGGACGATAGAGACAAGAAAGGTCCTAAAAAAAAGCTCTTAAACAGGATTTAAATTAAACCATCATTTGACAAGGCTCAAAACATCTTGCAGTGCAAAAATGCAAGAGGTATCATCTACCAAGGCAGCGATGGCCAGAGCTCATTGATCCTGTACAGCACCTTAGGTAGCAAGCAGTCCTACTAAACCCTCAGCACCAAGTGGGGTGAGGTTAGTGACTGCAAGTCCTCAGAACAGCAGAGCTCCAGGTGTGCAGCAGTGTGCTGTTCTGCAGAACAGAGGGACATGCACACTTCAGGTAAGAACTTCCAATGCTCACCAATGTCAGCACACAGGAAGGTGCAAGTCACACAGGTATGAGGTATTTTTACGTCTGGGTAATCCCAATCATGCTGATTGCAAACTTCACACTAACACATCTTCCTTCTGTCCCATCTTTCCACATTTTATGTACCTTGTTTGAATTATCAGCTCATTACAAAACGAGATGATCAGTCAATTCGCTCTGTGAGTTACAGTAGAAGGTGTCTGCCTGGATTTATGCAAATAGCAGCTTCTATGTACTGTCTAGCCTATTTCCACTGTTGAACAACAAAAGAATGTACATTAAAATCTGTAGGATATTTAGGCATGTTGAAGTGTGCCACTTTTCATTTGGAAAAAATTGCCTACTGGGTACTATGTTAGTGCAAGGTGGAGTAGGCTTATATTCAGGCTTTCCTTTACAAATGCTCAAAAGAAGAGAGAATCTCTCATTTTTCCATGCACATGCTGCATAAGATCAAATGGCATAGCAAATGCTTAAGAGACTAAGTAAAATACTATACATATATTTAATTTTATTTTTAGTTGAAGTTTAGTTTTGACACAGCTTTTTTGAGGATTAGTTGCTCCAAAATCAGGACACTCAAAGTCAAGGCAACCATACAGACAGTAGCTTACAGAATTAGTAAGATTTCAGTGGTTACACACAGTTCTTTCTATAGACAAATAGGAAAGCAGCTTGGGTTTCAGATATATTGACTATCCATCTCTCCCTCCTCCAAGTAGACTGACACCAGATTGAAACCTCAGGAAAATCAGATCCAATCTGCTTTCCCCAAGATGCTTACAGCTTAAAGAAAATCAAAAGCATTAACAAAAGTGACAACAGTTTACATTGGTGGAAGGATTTAAAAACAAATGTACCTCACCAGTAGAAATAAAAAATATGGCTCAAGATAAAAACCTGGCTAGAGATTAAAAAAAAAAAAAATAAATGCTCGAAGATGGACTGGAAATGGAGGCAGCCACAAAGCAAAGATAGGTAGGTGCTAGCCAGTTAATTGCTTGCCCAATGACAAGCAGTCATTAGGAAAGAGCTATGGAGGGGAAAAATACATGGAAAGAGTGGATAATGGACCCATTCCCGTAGTACACTGGGAAACAAGTTTTCAACAATAAGGCAGGATTTTCACAGTTAGTCTTCCCTAAGGGAGAAGCACAAAGGCATTTTCTTTGGAGTACTATAATAAAACTTGCATCCTGAACAACAAGAAAATGCATTTTGACATACTAAAAGTAAGTTATAGTTGGGTGCTTACTATTATCACTTAAATAAGGTGCCTGATGATTGTAAATCTTTTCTCCCAGAGGGAAAACAAAGCAAAAACAACACTTATTTTTGCATAGCTTGTATTTTAAGTTTATAACTACATTACCATAGCTCAGGATGCCTGCAACCTCAGCATTTTCCTAAAAGAGTAGTTACCTGTGGTTGGCTAGTGGGCACTGGCCAATTGCTATTTTTGAGTTTGGGAAAGAGTGTTTCAGCTGTAAGAGCTCAGGCTAAGAACAATTGGTGATGCATGTAGCAACATACCCACAAGGCACAGCTCACCGTTGATGTATCTTTCCAACCTAGAAGAATTAGCCAAGGAAATAACAAGCTTGCTTGCATGCAAGAAAATGACCAGTTAATGTGCTCAGGCCAGAGGTTTTAGTTTAAAATACACATCCAGACCTATATCACTTCCACCTTGTGCATCAGGTCTCCTCACATCATACATTGTCTCTACACACAGATGGTTGCCACAAGAAGGGGTTGAGGAGAGGGAACCAAGCCATGGTCAGAGCTACTTGCTTACTGTTGACTTTTCATTTCTAAAAAAACATATTAAGGGTTGAAATTTTCACTCCCAATACATTGCCTCTTTTAGGAGAGGTGAAAGACATCCTTTAATCTTATGTCTTTGTTCACCTAATAGTCTTGAATACTTCCCCAACATCCCTTTTCCCTCCTACCTTCTTCCAAGATGAATTTTTCCAAGTCTACAGATGCTGAAAACGAGGCACAAACAGATAAACATCACCAGGTGTAGGCATTCCTGGGGCACCGAGACTAACCTGTTTGCAGATGTCAGATGGGTTATTTCTTGGCTGGAAGTTAAATCTCCCCGAACTTGACATTTGGAGGAAAAGGTAGTGGCATTTACCAAGTAACATAGTAACAAGGTGACTGGCAATCATTGCCACTGAAAGTAGGACAGAGCATGGCTGAAGAACAGAAGGCTATTACCCCTCTTGCACTTGTCTCCTGTAGCTTTGTAATTAAAGAAGTACATTGGTAGGGATGTCAAAGGAAGCATACAAAATACACAATGTTGTAAAATTCCCCCGAAGCCCAGCTTCCAAGCAGGAAGGGGACCCCTTGCAGCTCATGGCTGCTCAGAACCAACCCCTACCAGTCAAAAGTGCAAGGACAACACTTAAAACCGTCTCTAGCCAGGTCTTACCAATACGAATTGAGTGACTGATGTTTTTAAATGAAGCACTGAGGTCTGGGGAGAGCAATGAAAGAGCAATCCTGCAATGCTTATTGAGGTTTATTCACCAAGTTGGAGCAGTAAACAGCAAGTTGCTGGTTTTGACTTTCTAATTAAACTCATTCTAAAACCCTTTCCGACCACCAGCTGGTGAGATACGGCAGGAGAAGAAAGAAAAAGGTAATTAAAGAGGCCTTCCTTGCCTTGACATTGGATAGCTGTTTTTTGGCCTTTAGGCGCATGTTTCCAAATAAAAGGCAGCCCTTCATGACCAGATGAAATCACAGACCAAGACTCACTCTTTCCATCTCCAGAGCTCTCAGTGGCGCACTCGAACACCTAACCCCCTCTGAACATCCAGTCCCAGCAACACGGGGAAACGTAACCTCCATCACCATGACACTCCCAGGAAATCAACACCTATCAGCTACCAAGGAATAATTAAGAGAGGATAAAAAGACAGCTGCTTTCCCTCTGTTTTTTAATCATGCAGCCAGCCCCTTAGGAGATTGCTCGGTTATGAGACTTAGAAAAGATTAGCCTTTTCATTAAGACTGAGGCAACAGGGGGGACAGTTTCAGTAACTGCAACCAGGTATGTTTTTAGCAGTTATTCAGGCAGCCTGCTCGAGTGGTACCTCCCTGCCTGGTGTTACAGCTGACATCAGCCCAGAAAGCACGGGAAGCTTTCCAGATTAATCATTCCTTCCTTTAAAAAAAAAAAAAAAAAAAAAAAAAAAAAAAAGTCCTTATCCAGGCAGGCTGGTGATAAACAAAAATATTACCAAAAAATGGCAATTCTACTTTTCTAGGTTGAAATGCTTGATTCTATCAGAAGTGGCAAGTCTTACGCATCTTATTACACACGAGAAAACACAGGAGTAAATAGAAATGACAAAGTAATTTGTTTTCACTCCACATATTTGGAAGAGACAGCCCTTCAGAGCTGCATTGAAATTGTGTTGGCCAGCTTGTACTTTCAGTGTCACGTTTTTCACTACACCAATGTTACTCCACACTTGTTTCTGCAGAGATTTTAAGTCATAGACTCTCAGGAACAACCTCTTCCAGAGATGCCACAAGGGAACCTGATAAAAAAAATTAAAAGGGTTTCAAATAGGCTAACTTAAAATAGCAGCCTCAAAGATTGGCAGCTTAAATATTCTGTTCTATCCTATTTATCAGAAGATTTCTTCAGGAAAAAAAAAAAAAAAAAAAAAGGAGAGAAGACAGAGGGTTTTGTTCCCTTCAGGAGTCTCCACAGCTCCGTATGGGTGGGCAGTCACAAGCCTATACCCCATGGGTAATGCAGTGAAGGCTGAGTTCAATAGGAAAGACAAAAAAAAAAAAAAAAAAAAAAAAAACAACAACCTTCAAATACTTGCATTAATGAAATATCCCCTCCTGTAAATCAGGCCTTGTCTGAAGAAGAGAAAAAGGCAGTCATTAGGTGTAGAGCAGCCCTCCGAGAGCCTTGTCGCTACACTCAAATGCAGCATGGGTGACTTTGCTGCAGAGTTTAGAAGCACAATTAAGGGGCTAGATGCTGTAGCATGACTGATGAACCCTTACAACTAAGTAGTGAAATCACTTACAGAGTACACTTTCCCTACAGAGCAGCTGATAATTCATTGTTCATTGACTTCAAATCAAGACTTTTTTTGTTGCTCATTCAGGTGTTAAGACCTCGGTGTGAGAACAACATTACAAAGTTCAACAGTTTGCTGCGCAGGAGGTCGAACAAGGCAAGCAAAATAGCTCTAAGCATTTAAAGAAAGAATTATTGCACTTTTAGGGTTTATAGCTGTCTTGACAAGAGAGTTCTTATATATAAGATAGATAAAATACAAACCACTACATTCTTATGTCACAGGATGACAAGTATCTCCTATTTCAAACAAAATTTTGGACTTTCCTGTGCGACAGTAATTTCAGTGTATTCAGCGTTGAGACACAGCTTTCTTGGAAGAAATTACAAAATAAATGTAAGTAATTGGAAACTTAACACGAAGTCTCTGATGGCACACAAGTGTCACCAGCACCCTTGCAAAACAGGCAGCTGTTTGGGTTTGCCCTGACAATCAGAAGGAAGTTTAACACACTCTAAACAGCCCAGTGCAAGGCCCAGTATATTGGCAAGGGAAATTAAAACCACAGCAAGTCTTTGAATGTATATCGCACACAAACTGATGGGCTTTCTGAAGGTTTAAAAAAAGGTAAAACTAAAATCATTGCCTCTAACCTTATTTTTGACATACATATTCCTAAATCATTTTTTACTGGCAACATACATCTGTATTCAGAGTGTATGTAGTTCACGAAGAACAGCCAGAGTTATGCTCCTTCATAACTCTAATTTTTGCTGACAGAATAGCATCAGGAATTATTTGCTCTGTAGTATGAACTAAATCAAAACTTTGTTGGCACAGCTAGGTTGACATCTGAAATTAAAAAAAAAAAAAGTTAAGTTGGGGGTGTTACTTTTATTACAACTTTATGCCAAAAAGATATTTTTTGAGCTAGTTTTGCTGGGTGAAACAGCTGACAGAAGAAAATGAGACACACACACACCCACCCCACCAAAACAACCAACCAAACACACACACAGACGGCGATTCCAGCAACATCTGGAGTCCACCTCAAAATCTTCATTTTAACCACAAGAGCAATAAGTTTAATGCAATTACAACTTTATTAAGGAAAACAATACTCAAAAGTGAGGACTTAATTTCATTATAGAGAAAGTTCAGAAAAAAGATGTTTACCAAAGTAGAAATCGAACAGTGTAAATACATAGAAAAAGCACAAGAGCAAATGGGACCAGTAACAGTATAAAACATTGTGGAGAATTTGAGTTTCATTTTTATTTTATAAAACAATTTTCCACAGTTGTTACAAAATTGAGTGTTGTCTCATGACAGTGAGTCATACAGTTTTGAGAAAATACACCATTATTGTGCTTTCTGTCCTACATGGTCAGCGTTTGCTATGGTTGTAAACATCAATAGTTAAGACAGATGTGTGTACCAATGTCCCCCTCCTCCTCAGTTTTGAGAGTCAACAATAGCAACAGTGATCTTGCCTTCATTAACATCATTAAGTACCAAAAGCAAGAACCATTTTGAGAAATTCACAGGATTTTTCAATCTCTTAGTACACAGCCTTCAAATGTGCAAGTTTTTCCACCAGGCAGTTTCCAGAACATGAGTTTCAGACCGCACGTAAGCAACAGTGCTCTAAGCCTCCAAATGCATTACAGGCACAGCAGCAATCTGCCCACAAGTTATGATTGATTCAGGCCTGTCCTGCACCTTAGCTGGAAGCCATCTCATAACAGTGTCCCCCATTTCCCAAACTTACACATTAAGTATCCACACAAAGCCTAAGACTATTTTTAATGCAATTTCTTTAAGTCGTTTTAACTCTGTGCAGAAATCTCTTCCTTGGGCTTTGCAACAACTCACAAGCAATCTTATTACTGTAAATACTAAACAAGATCACATTGTTCACATCAGCACAGTAGAAACACTTCAGATAGCACCAGTATTCACAATGAACTTCATCACATCAACCAGAGCAGAACTCTGAAATGATGAACCCCCTCCCATTTTCATGTACAGAATCTCAGTGGTATGGAAACAGACACCCACCAACACCCATTTCCCTTTCTACTGTATCTGTAAAGTCAGCTGATCCCAGACATGCACATTTCATGTTAAGGCTGACTGGCTACCATTATCTGTACTACAAAGGAAAAAAAAAAGAGAAGTGATTAAGCAAGTTGACCAACAACGAAGCTTTAAAAAAGCACTTTCTGGTAAAACACCAAACTCGACTGAGATGGGCATCCAACATCATAAAAGTCAGCCTTGAGTCAAGTGGTGTAGGCAACTGAGCAAGGACTTTGTGAAGGAAGGAGCCTTGTGATTTAAAACACAGACGTCTCTTTGCAGTAGAGCACACACAGCAAACATTTCTGCCCTGAAGGACATTAAGATAGAAAGCTAGAGGGCTTTAAAGATGCCCATCGCAGTTCCCGTCAAGCACATAACCAAAGCTGGTATCAAAACTTAACAAAAAGAAGTTTTAATGGCAAAAATGGTACCCTGGTATAACGTAATTTGGTTTGAAACTGGTCAAGAGGCAACATTCATATACTAAGTTACCCCTCGATCATATAAAGTATTTTAACAAGATAGAAGAATATTTTGATGCTAAACTTGGCAATAACCTGAATACAACTACTGATAAGTGAGTAAGAATCTAAAACATTTTGTTCTGACAGAGAAGAGTTATTTTTAAATCAAAACTGCTTGTAGATGAAGCGACAAACCCTGAGTATTTTTCACATATTGGCAAGAATATGGTGAATCTCTCTTACTGTCTGACCTTCATAAGAACAGAATGCAACACCAAAGGGCAACACAAACCCTAGTGGCAGTCTGGTAATCGTGCACATCTTTGCCATCTCCTTTTGTGTTCCCTTCCTCTACGGGCACTATTCCTTAATGCCTCGTAACTGTGCTATGCAGTCAAATAAAGCTTTGTTCTTCTCTCTTATTGAATCAAAGGCTGTGGAGCTGGAATTATAGCTTTAAAAAGGTGCAAGTGTAGGGGGAATGCATTTAAGTTCACCCACTGTGTATCGGTAGCGAAAGAAGTTTCAGAGCCTAAATTTCCTAATTCCAAGTGGTTGTGCTCACAACAGTCAGCTAAAAGGTTCCATCTAGCTACTCAACAAATCGAAAAAGCACTATGCAGCATACCCAAATCTCATGTTTTTCCAGGGAAACAGCCAGAGAGTCATGGTACTACATTCGTGCAAAAGCTTGCTAAGGAGTAAGCAAAAGGCTTTTTCTTTTTTTTTTTTTGTATGCTTCAGATTAGGAAGAGAAACAGAGGAGTCAAATTCCATTGTGCTGACTGCTGATAACCCTGGAATGATTATCCAAGTTAAGAGAAATTTCCCTGAGAGAGGAAGGCGAGATATTGTATGCTATACTTGTAGAGTTTTCCAGGAACACCCATAGATATAAAAGCTAAACAAATATTGGAATGTGAAAGGCATTAGAGTTGCATTTCCATTGCTCTTACACAAAGGAATTCTGTAAACATTCTCAAAGTCCTAGTAAAACACTAACATAGGGTCCTTTGACAGCTGTAAATTAGGCTTTGAACCTACTCACTAATGAAAAAAAAGGTCACATAACTTATTAGGTATTTGTCTCCAGTCAGAGTCAGGGAAAACATCTACACGCATTCTTGAATTCCCAGCCTCTCTTGGGCCTTTAACTAATTCTTTCTTTCAAGTAATAGTCAACCTAATGATTTCAACGCTAACTTCTAAATCCTAGGGGGAAAAAAAAAAAAAGCACAGGGAAATAGCACTTGAGGAACACCATCCCACATAACAGACCCATCCCAACATAGCAATGTCATGTTTTCAAAAAGGCATTTTCTGTTCCAATGGCTTGCAAGAGTAGCTCTTACTTTCTCTGGATTCCAGCTGGCTAGAGTTCCTCTTTTACATCACCATCAAAAAAAAAAAAATAAAAATTAAAAGGATCCTGACAGGGAGTGGTACTATGTTTTATAAATTATCGGAAGGACAATTAAGTTTAAAGTTCAGAATTAGTTCAGCTTCTAGTAACCTTCTGAAAGCTGTAGAATTATTTGGCTTCACTGTGGGCTTATATTTTATTGTTGAACAGAACTAGGTTTGTGCTGCATTACAGTCTTTGTGATGCAAGTCTGGGGCACGCTTGCTATGCAAATGCAGTACAGTTAAATGACTAAACACTAGGTAGGTCTAGAAAGAGGATTCAATTCATACTAAAGTCCACTGGATAATTATCTTCACAGCCATCAGTTCCAGCAAGCCAGTTTGGTAATAGGAAAGGCAAAAGCAGTTAAACAATATCCCACCTAGCAGAAGCAGGAACCTGTGTTCAGACATTAAACAGCTAACTACTGACATGGTTAGGGAGTAAATGATTACATATAGCTCAGAAGATTAAGAGAATGGAGAGTGGCCTTGGAATTTGGATACTGACCATTTGGCATTTGTTTGAAGCTGGCAACTACATTGCTGCACACTCCCTTTGCTAAAACAGGCAATAGAAAGTTGTATTTTCTCCACAAAGTGGAAGAAATTCACTAGCGTATGAGAGTGCTTTAGGAGAAATGAAACCTTGATTTCATGTACAAAAAGATACGTTGAAATTTTAACTTATTCATAAATTCAGAAGAAAATGTCTTCTCCCTGCCCCAGACTTGCTTAAAGACTAACCCACTTACACCTTATCAAGAGCGTTTGCCCTTTGAGAAAGGACCTACAGAAATTCTTTGAGCTCACCTATCATGCTTTCAGCTTCACACTGCTTCTATGCAACAGCTGGGGAGAAGAGAAGCACCTCACTTCGATCAAAATATTTCTGTTTCTTAGCTTGTATGCATTGCCATTATCTCAAGTCAAGAAGAACTCAGGTTCCTTGCAACTAAAAACTTGATTAACCTTACTTTGAAAGTGCTTTTCCTGTGGGAACAAGTTTTTTGCAGATGATAATGTCCCTTCCATATATTTTAAGGAAACACTTTTGGTCTAAACTGAAAATTAAATAATTCATTACAGAATCAAACATTTTATAAATACTTACTCCAAAACAGTATTTTCATTTAGAATTAGACCTTTTAGAAATACCATAAGCCTAAATTTTTGCAAGAGGCACAAAAAGAGAGAAAACTCCAATATTCCATTATTCAATGTGAACAGTGCAATGATTAAGTGATATAAGGCTATTAAAAAAAAAAAAAAGTTCTTCATAAGAAAAGAGATCTCTTTTTCAAGAAAAAGTAATCCTCTAGACTGGCATGGTCCCATCAGAGTCAAGGTCACCTTTTTACAGAGTTCACACATTACTTTGCTCATTTTGCAGAAACAAATACATGATTTTACATGAGAATTATCATAACCAATTCTGGGTCTCTGCCCAGTTCTTCTGCCAGACTGAACTTCATCACATGAGCGCCCTGTCCTACAGACACCATTGCTTACAAAAACAAGCAATTGCATACACTGCTTTTATCACAAGGAGCCTCTAACAACAAGCTGAAAGGCACGTGTTTAAGACAGATTTAGGTAATTACATACACAGTGATCTTAACATAGTTCTACTGTGCTTCCTAGAACTTCGTGAAGCATCCAGTATTCCTCTCAGGACAGACAGACAGACACACATTTCTTCACAGCATCCCTACAGGCAGGAGAAAGAAAAAAAAACAACAATCACCTCAGTTTTGCTTCCTGATGAGACTGGCTCCATGCTGGTGTCACACCACTGACTCACACCTCCGAAGACCGGCTGACCGTGTATTCATTGTGCTCATACATTCTGCATGCCTACACCAACTATTAAAGACAAGCGGGTCTGCTCATCCTCCCCCCACCCAACTGCAGTGGAAGTGAGGCCTGTCTCAAGGTGGTGCACTGGGGAAACGGGGGGCTGATGAGGTAGGACAGAGTGTGCTCAAATGCTGTAATAGTGCTCACAGGGCAAGAGAGCGGTAAGGAAAAAAAAAAAAAAAAGCAGTACAGAGACGAATACACTTGTCCAGTAGCATTTTGGACCAGCATTTAGAAGGCAAACCTTAGGTTGGTCAGCACACTTACATATTTTTATAGGAAGCCCTCTCATTTTGTTACATTTAAATTGTGTTCCCCTGCTAGAGATGATGCTTATTCCTACTTTCAGGTATCTACATGCATTTCCACCTCCTACATCACCGTGGAGAAATTTAAAGCCACACATTACAAGCTTCTATAAACTAGTCTTCTGTATCACTAAACTTCAAGACAACAAAAAGTAATGGAGTGGGGATGCTTACCTTGCAAAAGGTATGAAGGAAATGCTGTACCTACGAAGAAACATTTTAAAAAGTTACTCTATGTGTCAGATTATATTGGAGTCAAGAAAAGAACAACCTGTGTTGCTCTGAACAGAGAGCTGCAAGATTTACAACCAAAGTGAAGTTCTGACTTTGTGAACAACAGCATCCTTGCAAGTAACCTTAGCTCAAGGGTTAGCTACGGGGGCACCTTACAGAAGTATGCTAAACGCAATTTTCCTACCCATGATATTCTTCAATGCTCCAACACCTACAGGCAGACTGCTTTTGAGGGCTGGCTAGATGTTCATAGCAGCCCCTGAACTAATCCAGGAACATTATACAGAGCATTTGGTAACTTAAAGAAAACTGATGCTTAATTTGATTGTCACATCTGGGTCATTTGACAAGACAAGTTCAGGAGTCTCAAAAAGCAGAATACGAAACAGTAAGCAACATATGGATTAAAAGACAAAAACAAGAGTTTTACCTCAAGCTCACAGAAATTAAACATATTCAAAGGTGCTTCCCCCAGAAGTGGAATGAGAGCAAAGAGCTGGAACAAGTCAGCTCTTCATAGATGCATTGTCTTGCATCTAGGGGAATGGTGAGATAAAATTCTCCATCCCTTTAACTCATGCAGGGTCAAAATCCACTCACAATGCCACTACTGATGTTAGGTTTAACAGAAATAAGAGCAGGGTAGGCAGGTGGGGGAAATCACTTACCATGCCAAGGCAAAATATTGTAAGATGCAGAATATGAGCGTGAGTCCTTTGTTATGCCACTGAGGGAGAAGGGCAAGGGGAAGGGGCAGAAACAAAACAATCAGTGAGACAACCATGTAAGAATCTCATTTTTAAAGGATACTCCAGTTATAGACACACATATAGGACTCAAATACTCACCCAAAAAGCAGAACATAGTGTTAGTACCAGACACAACTAGAAGAAAACAAACAATTTCTATTAAACATACAAACAACTCTCCAGTTCTTACAGATGTCATTACACTGAAGTATGTTCCTTCACAGATACAGAAACAGATTATTTCATTTCTTAGTTTTATCCATCCCTGTATAAGAGTTCTCTTTATTTAAAATGTTTGCACTATTACATTTGTTAATTAAAGCAATGAGAAAACACCAGCCTGATATCTTCAGAATGTAAGCTCATGACTGCAAAGGAACCAGAGCATGAGGCTCCCACAGCTCATCTGCAACATCAGCAGGTTCCTGCTCCTTCCTACACAGTTCTTGGTGGGCTAAGCATAGACCACACTTTGTCTTTTTGCGTAAGACTTTTCAGTTACAACTCTAGTTTTTCTGCCTCTGTACATGCCACATTTCCTGTTGATTCTCATGGCTACCACATTGCTGACGATAAGTAATTACTGAATTCTTACCAATTAAAGCCACAATACACTTTCAAGTACTTTCAGCTATCGCTTAGTAGCATTCCTGCTTAATATGTAGTCCAGCACAGGCAGTGTGTTCTTTCTTCATAGTCACATTGTGTATTTACTATGGTTAGAATCTTGGGGACTAGCGGTCCATTTTGGATTATTTCCTGTTTTAACACTAGGTTTAACAGAAGATGCCTTTTAGCTCAATTTTTCATTTTAAGATGTGGCAGTTTATTTAGCTATGACAAATGCTGATACTTCACCTTCTTTCATCAATGTCTAACTCAGTCTGCTGGAGCAGATGTACGAGTGTGCTGCTAGATTATGATGCACATTTTTCTGCTTGAGTAAAAACAACAGAAGTATTTAGTACTACATATGCAAGACAGTAAGTAGTGCATGCGTTGCCAAATCATACACAAATCATACACCTCAGCCACGATTACTGACATTAAAAGTTTTTCCATTAGTTGTAGGGTAATGATCTGTGTGTTTGTCTACGTATAACATACACCTAACACCTGGCCTTACTCCAATGAGTGTTCCAGGCATACTCTTGATTCCAAGCATCCTAATTGCATGTGAAACAAACACACACTATGCACTAGGCTCCCTGGCTGCTGCTGATTTGTGAGCATAGACAGGCAATTTCTTAAGCTGTATCTGTTGCCTGTTTGGATGTAAAAATAAACTAGGCAGCACTGATACCAAGCGAAGGATCTAAAGACATTCGCACTGAAAAATTGGGAGGACAGTTTCAGGCAAGTTAAACCGCTTTCCAGATTTTAGACTCTCCAAGAGAAAGTGTGAGAGTTTAAGAAACGTAAAAGCACACCTACTTTCAACAAGAAAATCTTGGAATTAACAGCAAACACTGCCCCCTCCCCCCCAAAAAAAGGTTGCCCACAATTCCCATCTTCTGAAGATGATAACTCAAAGAGCTGACTTAATTAAATGTTGAATTGGCAGTTTTAAAACCTGAAGCTATCAAACAACTGGGATGATGTTATTTTTAATACAAGGTCACAGAGATTCCCCTTTGCTTTGTCAGAAATGACTGTTTTTAGCAAGGTGAAAATACCTACACAGCTCTTTAGAGCAAATCATATAGAAAATAAAATATACGTATATGCAGAATAGGATATGTCTGACAACCTCCATGATACAACTTTTAAAAAACTGTTTTCCTGTCTCTCATCTTTTAAGAAACCTGAAAAGATGATATGATCTCCAGAACCCTAAAAAGGTTTACACATGATTTACACACAATTTATACATGGCAGCTACAGACACTTAATAAAGCTCCTTTAGTATGACAACCTGGCTTCAATTCAGTCTTTCATCATAGGAAAGTGGTGATGCTACAAGCACCTTTTCACTATAACAGATGTACAGGATGAACAAAAAAAAAACACCCACAAACACATCTTGAGACATAGTTAGATTATTGTCCATGACAGCACTTTACAGGGGAAAATGTTTACAAGTTAACAAGTTAAAACTGATCCCTTTGATACTTACTAGCATAACAATAGTAGCAATCAAACGGGTAGGCTCAAACATCCTTTTCAATTGCTTCATTGGTCCCATAAGAAAGAGAGTGCTGAGGAAACAAACAAACACGATGAACATAAGACAAAGGCAAAAGTGACAAAGTGATATAAGTAAGATTCCTGATTAAGGGGAGTTACTTCTTAAGCTTGTCTGCTGTCATATAGGGTACCAGCACGCTATGTCATTCTGGTAATCAGTGCATAACAAAAGGAATAGGATATACGAGACAAGACTGATTCCTGCTCTTCTTTGTGTAAGCTATCTATTCCATAACTTTACGTTAATTGTAACTGAAAGGGTGTGATTAAGCAGAGCAGAACTATCAGGCTAGAAGCATAGGTCAAGGTCAGCTTCAGCTAGTTCATTCCTGACAGATGCTTTTTTAACTTGCTCTTCAAAAATACTACCCAGAGGCTCTGCATGGATTGACAGGTAATCCATCTCCGTTCCTCTATCATAAAGGGTCGCATTGATGCCTGAATCTACCCTCTGACCCCTCAGCAGATCTGCAGCCCTGATGATAGATACTGCATGAATTAAACCAGGTGAAAGTTTTATCTAAAGTGCTATTTCTTTTGCATAAGAAATTTCTCATGCACAGCTACTATATTATTTCCAATTCAATTCCTTGTACTTTCTAACATCTTGCTAAACTTCCTCAATCACAGAAAGTCACGCCTTTCATGAAGTCAGTAGAGCTATGCTTTGGGAACCTTTGCAATACACATGGGAAGGATATCAAACAACAAAACACTTCACAAACACACAGCACCATTATCAAAGGCAAAAGGATAAAGAACTATTTTTAGTTCTATCTATCCTGGGCCAAAAGAGATCCTCAAAATCTAAACGCCAAAAACATCAATGCTCAAAGCATGAGTTTTATTCTTTGGTTGTGGTGTTGTTTTTTGTTGTTGTTGTTGTTTGTTTTTAATTGGTGAGTAACTTTAACCTTGAGTGAACTGCATTGCTAATAACAATAAACAAAAGAAAAATTTTCTTTACCATTTCATGGCACTGCTGAGATGTTGTCTTTAAAATTTAGCAAAAAGATAATGACCTACGTAGGCAAATATTCACATACAAACAACACAACTTTTTTTTACTACTTATGCACCTGCATAAGGTAGGTGAATAGGTCTCTCACCTTTATTACGGAACTAATACGAATAGATTGTTACCTTCCAATAGATGCGATATTCCCCAACGTATAAAACACTGCAAAGAGCATCAGCCCTTTCTTTGGTATCCAGAACAGACAAGTGCCCTAAAAGGGAATATTTAGGAAAGAAAAAAAAAATAAAAAAAGAAAAAGATTGTTTTGTATTTTGCAAAAGAAACACCAAGAGTCATGACTTAAAAGATGTTTAGGAAGACTTAAATTCAAACTGCAGAATCAGACACACATGGGGGAAAAAGGAAATTGCATTTATTGGCTTTCTTATTGATAATCCAAGCATGGTATTTAACTGCAACTGAGTCAGGCGTCGCCACAGAGACTCAAAATAAATCAGCCGGTGTGTAACAAGTCACCAGGGCTCCCAAAACTCAAGTATGGGGTCAGATTTGGCAAGAAGCCCTTACCAAGACAGAGAACAGGCATCCTATCGCAAAGCAAGCAACGAAGCCTTTCACCCTGGTGCCCCAGCCTAGCGAAGTCGCATCGATGACCTAGAAGCACGGAAGGGTTAAAAGTTCGCGTTATTACTATTTATTAACGCGTTTTCGCCCCGCGTGAAGCGGCAGCACCGCGGGCCCGGCTCCCCCCGAGCGGCCGCGGCGGCCATCCCGGGCCAGGCGCCAGCCGCCCTCGGGCCGCCATCTCGGGGCGCGGGGGCTCCGGGCCAGGCCTCCCCGAGGCCGGCAGGTGGCGGGGGGTTTCGGGGCGCTACCTCGGCCAGCCCGCTCTGGTCGTCCGTGTCCTGGCCGCTCAGCACCCGCTTCAGCTTGTCCATGCCGCCCGGCCCGGCCCGGCTCTTCCCCTCCCTGCTCGGGAACTACGAGCCCCAGCATACAACGCGCCGCCGCGGGCTACCTGCGCCCGGCAGGTAGGCAGGGCGCGGGGGCTGCTGGGGGATGGAGTCCGCGGGGGGGCGCCAAGCGGAGCCGAGCCCGGCGCCTCAGGGCCTCCCCCTGGTTCCTCACCTGTTGTTACTAGGAAACTGCGAAGCTTTTAGACGCAGTACTACTACACACACAACTCCCCCCGTTCCAGAAAAATCTCCTCTTACTTCCACAACTAGCCTGAGTTGGCTGATGACAGGCTATTAGGAATACACAGATCTTCTGATCACACAAAGCTCTGCATCACAACTCCTTATTTTCCTTTATTGTGCCCAGATAAGAACAGAACTATAAAACCACAGGTATATTTTATTTAGCAACACAGGAGAAAGAATATAAACCGTTGTGTGTGTGTGTTGTAACAACGTGCTACAAAACAGCTGGAGAATCACCCCACTCCCTCCCTCCCAAATGATATACCCAAAGTAGTATTTTTCTCTGGCAAATTTGTACAAGAGAGCTTGCAGTACACCCATTGATAGTGCTGTTTCTTGATAACCTGTGTAGTGTAACAGCGACAAAGAATGTTCCAAGTTTTACTTCGTGGTAACTGACTTTCCAAACACGTTCTTGTGATTTCTCCAATATCTGTGTTCCACTTAAATGCACAGCACCCAAGATAGATGGTTATCACAAATCTATATATTCAGGAGTCAAGCCCATTCAAGACAACTGCAACAGGTCACATATTAGTAAGCAGGATGGACAAGATAAAATACGTAATAAACTACACATGCAGAGCACCCTTCCCAACAGTAGGTATTGATTCTGTGGGCTGCCCCCCAGACTTTAGCCCAGTGGAGATTGTTAGCATCACTGACTAAACCCAAATGATTTTCTTCATGCTAGCACAACACCAGCCACTTCCAGCTCTGATTTTACCGTGTTTTTACAGGCCTTTAAGGCATGTGAAGTAGTAAATGTTTACATTAAAAGAAGTGCCATGATTTACTTCCACTAGCCAACCATCTCTCCATCCCCTCCAGTTTGTTGTTCCCTTCCTTTCCATTCTCTCCTCATAAACCTTTACTGCTGGAGGGGTCATAAATAACCTTTTATTACCAAATTAATTTTGATCATTTCCATGCTGCATTCATTTACAAACAGATATGCACTTCATCATTCCTAAAATCTTTAGAAAACAAGTGCAAGAAGATGAAAAAATAGAATTTAGGACTCGCAAATGGGGAATACACAGGACCTCACCCCTACTTCAGAGCAGCCATAAGTTCACTCATGCAGTTTGCCTGATTATGAGTAATTTCTTTCAGAGACTTTTTAAATTTCAGTTCCCTTCGCTCATCTTACACTATGGATCATAAGTTTCTTTTGTAGTAGTCCCTTACAAAAGTAAGGCTAAAGGTCTATTAAGGGGAATAAAACAAAACAAAACAAAAAATTTCCAATCAGCAACTTAAAAAAAAAAATAATCCTCACAACACTCAGTGAGGCTTACTCTCATTTTTGCATACAGGGAACTGAGGCACACAAGTAACTTCCCTGTGGTTAGAATAAATCAGTGACACAGGAAAACCTGCTGTTAGCTCCTGCCTTCCAACCATATGATCAAATGATTAGACCAGGCTGCCTCGAAAAGAAGTGAAACAAGGTGGGTTGTTTTATTAAGAACGCAGTCAGTTAAATAGTAGTACAATTGTATAAAAACAACAGTTTCTTTAAATGAGAACCATTTTTCAGAAGACCTAGTTAATAGAAACAAGCCACCCCAAAACTTGGTATTTAAAGACATGCAGTGTAGAATCTGAAGATTTTTAACCAAAATGTACATGTTCTGGTGTCCTGGAGCATTCTTATCTGCCATTGCCTTAAAGCACAAGGCCCGCTTTTCACTACTGCTTTGCTTCTTGCACTTCATTGAGTGCAAGAAGCAAACCTACACGTCTAGCTCCCCCAATCTTAGACCAAATCATTCACGTAATTTAGGATTTCCAAAAGCAACAGAATAATTTAAAGTTTAATCCACAAATTACTGATTTAAAACCATAACTGTATATGCGATCACACTTCTATTGATATTACAATTTAAAGAATTTTAAAAATAAACCAAAATTACATATCTGAAATATATTCTAGTATCCTTTTAAGGCCATTAAAGCTCCCATTTCTCAATTTGTAATACCAGCATCCGTTAGGGATTGAAGATTAAAAAGCCCTCTTTTCCTCAGCCATGAGCCACACTAATTTAGCAAACTGAATATCAGAACAGTATAACCATCATACATGGGCACCATCTGGTATGTCCAACAGAAGGTAAATACAGTACAATGCATTTCCAATACAGCATGACTGTAGCAGCACAGAGAACCCAAGTAATAGTCTCCAGAACTGCCTAGAGAAATCTGGTTGACGTCAAACTATGCTAGTATTTGTTAAGAGACTTACCAGTATGTGTGTCTGTTAATCTCCAGCTTGTCTCCTGCTCTGAAGAGAATGTCTTACAAGTAAGGTAATTTTACCTTTATAAAGTGTCAAACAAATACAACTTTTCACTTCTCCTTACAACTATTCTCAGATGAAATGAATATTCTTAAGTTACAAATCTGGATCAAAGATTCTAAGAAATAACTTGATTGGTTATCAGCTCACAGTAGAGGAAACCAAGCAAAAAGCATAGTTCAGGACTGAAAGCTCATAACATATGCAGAGGAATTTTATTTATTTTTACTGTAGACAATTTTTCAATAAAAATAAAATTAAGCCAATTTTACGTCTCTAGTAGTCTTTTGGTATCTGAGGGAGCAAATAACAGAATCTTCACAGAAGTGTTTGTGTTGGAGAGTCCAGGCAATATCCTGCCTAAGTGGTGAAGTGAACAGAACCTAGACTCTGAATTGTGAGAGTCCTCCAATGCCACTGAAGACTGTAATTCACCATCATTCTATCAGATAACTCCAGATACAAGTTTAAAATAAACAAAGATCAAAAAATATTAGCAAAACCTGCTTGAAATGAATCCTGTTTTCTTTTAGGGCTACAGAAAAATTAGCCAAATACTTTATTCCACTAGTAGTGAAACCGTGCCCATGGTAATGGCTACACAATCACATGATCTCCAGTCGAATTCAAGTCCATATAAAGTCACATTTATTTAGACTTAACACACGTGGTTTCCAGTGATGCTTCTGGGTTAGGCTCCAACGTCTCTGGGAATTCTAGCTTTTCACAGATCGTCTCCTTTATGGGTAGATACTGAGAGATCTCGTTAGGTTCCGTGAACAGGGAAGGTGGTACGTGCTAAGAAGCAAAAATTTTAGACAAAATGAGTGAATGGGAGGGGGTGGGGAGGCTAAAACAAAGGGGAAGGGGAATCCCAAAAGCAAACTTTTATGGACAGCTTATTTCTAATTCACCTAATTTAAACACTTGAAGCCAGGTATCATTAGAGAAATTTGTGTTACAATTTCAAATACACATACATACAACCTCTTACTTCATGCATATATCAGTAGGTTAAAGAAAGGTATTAGATATTTTTAAGCACCAGATTGTATGACCACAAGAAAGTCAGGGACATTCCAGAAGATCTACAATGTTCATCATTTGAATGTAAGAAACTCTCTGAGAGTCTGTTTTTGGAAGAGACTAGAACGGCCACAACAGAGCCCATGTTTAATGTCTTCTAGTCATTGTAACACATTTGCTGGAGTTGTTCAGATTTAACTATTAATAATTGATATTTCAACACAGGTCTTAGTTTTAGGAAGTCTACTACAGACATTGTTTAGCTTCTTATATGAAATACTAGAAGCCATTGGATTTTAATTTCATATTTGAAGAAATTAATTGGTTTAAGCTAATTCACATCTTTCTCTGTAGATTCCTCTAGACAACATAGTTTCACCACATACAAGACATTCAACAGAAAAACAGGAGACATTTTTACAGGTGAAGATAAAAAAAAAAAAAAGTAAAGTAACAAGAGTACCTAAAATCAGATATTGGGTCAAGAATAAAAATCAACAGTTGCAACTCCAGATGTGCCACAATTATTCTGAGCTACTGATGGAGTTTTAAGATGAACTATTAAAGCTATTTGAGAAAAAATGAGTGAGTTTGTACCATCAAAAAGATCTTATCCCTTAATACTACTTGTGAGCATATAACCAGCCCTGAAATTAAACACCATGGGAAATAGACAACCTGATTTTATGGCTGCACAGTTTTAAGAAATAAAATGAAAAAACTGTTAACTCAGAAGTAGAAAATATAATCCAATATCTTGTAATGTGATCAGTAACTCGTCTGCAAATGCAGATCTGCCCTGAAATCCCTAAAATAAACGCTACACAAGTAGGACCTTCCCTCAGTTTAGACTGCAAACCTTTCAAAAGAACAACTTAGGTTGTTTTTATGGTCCACACAGAAAATATAATTTCAAAAAGCAGACAGGGGAAAAAAAAATATTAAAAAATTTAATACCTTTAAACTTGATATTTTGCTTTCCCTGGATGTATACTCTCGCAACATGTAAGCCTTGTCAGCCTAATGGGGAAAAAATGCAAAAATTAATTACAAAATTATCATCTAATATCTGTGCAAAATGAGCACTGTAAACACATTCAATTTAGTAAACATTTGAGTTTGATTGACCACAGATTTTCACCTGGGAGCAGACACATATATTCAAATTCACAAGTACAGAGTAAGATGTGTAGCTAAACTGACTTTTCCAAAAATTACCTTTTTGCATGCAGGCACACAAAAAAAAAGACTGACTATTCTTCATAATTTTTACTCAGAACACCTACATCTATATGAATAGAGATAGATGGAATAAGCAAAGCACAACTGTTATGGTCCGTCTTATTTATGGGATACTTGAACTCAGCATAGAACAGACAGTCCTTTGCAAGATTAAATTTGCAGTCATACACTAGACAAGCAAAAAAAAAACCATGTAAGAACAATATCACACTATTTACCGTTGTCTATTTTTTGTCTTGTAATGCCTCTCTAATCCATGTCTGTCACATGTATTTAAATAATTACTTCACATGAGCAATAGCCCACTGTGCTCATACAGTACCTATCACTTAGTTGCTGCTTCAGCACCACCATAATAAAATGCACTTGAAAGTTCAGTTCAGGTAACCGCTACGGCCCAAAATATCAGCATTAAATTACAGGAATATCAGAAGGTCTTCTCTGAAAGTAACACTGCAAAGGAGCATCTGTAAAATATTCATGGTGACAAACACGGGTTTACCTCATGATGAAGCCTTGTATCATTCATCCTGATAAGCACCCCATCGACTCGCAAGAAAAACCTCAGGAGCACAAAAAAGCTGGAAGGCATAACTCTCTGGAAAAATAAATATCTTTGATTCAGCACATTACAAAGCTTTACTTAGGTATGCACTTATTTACATCAAAAATTTACACAGATAAAAGATAGTATGAGTGAGCTTTCAGTTGTAAAGCCAAAATTTGGGCTGGTGACACACTGCAGCTATAACTGGACAGTGGGGCAGACTGTTTCAAAGGAGTCTTAGGATGCAGAAAGATGGAAAAGATTGTTGCCTAGAGCAACTGACAGAAAGATTTCAAAATTTTCAATAAGACTGCATTTTTCAGAGCAAGAATAAAGAACTTTTCATTTTAAACTTCAAATCCCAGAAAAACCAACATGCAAAAAGCGATTACATTGTGCATACATTAGCTAGCTAGGTCACCAAGCCTCTTTTATCCACCTCTCTGTACTCACTATTTTTACACTCAAACTTGACACTCCATGATCATGAAGTTCATCTTCAAACAGAAGTACTTCTTCAAAAAACATAATTTGCTCTCTGGCTTTCAATTTCTCTGTATTTATGTGTTCTGTTGTAGGAACAACCTAAAGAAAATGATTAAGAACAGTTAGTATATGTAGTTTGGTGGCAAGTTATTAAGTTTATCCTGATCTTAAGAATCCTCCAGTTCCCAGTTTTCTGAAGGAAAAAGTTTTTGTATGTATTAAGCTCAGTGCTACGAAAGTCAAATAGTTAAAGTTAAAATTAAAACTAAAAAGTTTCCAAGAGGAAACACTGATCAAAGCAAAAACCAAGAATGGAAAATTCTGAATAAACTGTCCTCAGGGTACAGGTTTTGTAGGTTACAGTTGTAAACAATTCTGTTTACATTCTATATTTCAAAGCATTAAAAGATGCCTCATGTTTAACGTACAATTGAGAAATTCTGGGTTATAAACAGTTTTCCATGCACTTGACATTTCTAGCCGACCACTAACCCTGAACAGTATTCCAAAAATAAAGCCCTTCCACAGAAATCAAGTACCTGTATTTCCCCCCCCATCTTGTGCTCCCTGTATATATTAATATTCTTTGGTTGCCTTAAGGCTATGGGCCAAGAAGACAGTTTATTTTATGCTGTACTTTTAATTCCAGAGTAACTCAAATGATCTGTAACCAACACAATCCTAGAGAATTAATATAGACTGCCTGGGAACTTCAGTCTAATTTTGAAGTAAATAAAGACAAAGGCGGGGAGGAGGGAACTGTCAGTTTAAATATGAGGAGTTCCTGTTGCAGAAAACAGAAGGCAATGAAAGCAGACAGATCAAGTTATCTGCTTTCACAAAATGGCAAGCAACACAGTAATAAGCACTATAGGGTCAGGGAAGATCTTACTGCTCCCTACAACTACCTGAAAAGAAGGTGTGGGGAGCTGGGGGTCAGCCTCTTCTTGCAGATAACTAGCGATAGGACTAGAGGGAAAGGCCTCAAGTAGCACCAGGGGAGGTTCAGGTTGGAAATTAGAAGACATTTCTTCTCAGAGTGGTTAGGCATTGGAACGGGTTGCCCTGTGAGGTGGTGCCGTCACCATCCCTGGGGATGTTTAAGAAAAGGTTGGACCTGGTGCTTAGGGACATGGTCTAGTGGGTGACATTGGTGGTAGGGTGATGGTTGGACCAGATGATCTTGGAGGGCTTTTCCAACCATAATGATTCTGTGATACTAGAGAATTATGCAGCTGATACTTCTGATGTGTGTGAGGAGCTTAGGGCCATCCAGCAAGCACTGAAGATGCTCACGTGCTTTACTCTCCCAGTAAATCATCACTAAAGGACACAAATGTTCCTACTTAAATGATCCTAACATGCTTAAAAACAAACAAAAAGACACCAAAATGCAAGTTACTAAAGTAAGACATGATTTGATTAACAGAAAATGATGAGCCATGAAAAGCCCGAACTATACTTTGAAGTCAGAAACAAAGAACCACGTAAAATGTTAAAGAAGCCTACTGACAGCTTCAGAAAAGTGTTTTGTGTTGGACTAAAGCAATAAGTAATCAACATTTAACAAGAAAAAAATGCTCACCTTTAACGTTGCAGTATCTCCCAGCAATGTTCCTTTGTAGTCAGTTGTGTAAGTCCAGTCATACGGCTTGACTACTTCCTTAGTGTGCTCAGTCTCACTCCTCAAGAAGTGAAAAAGAATATAGTGTATTTTATAAAAATTATTAAAAACCTTACAACCTCACATAAAGTTATGTATTATGATCCCCACACTTCAGTCCTAACTACTCAAGAAAAACAGCAGTATTGTCTGTACTGGACTGATGATGTCAAGACTTAACCATCCAGTATTGCTTCTTTCACAGCATCTGTGTTTTCACTGTGAATTAGAAAACCACTACCAGAATTCCTGTGCTAATACTATCTTAATCTTATGAGACAAAACAAAGGTTTTTAGTTTGGTGTGAACTCTAATTTTTTCAACAGTAGTCATTTGTACTTTGAGCAGGCACAATATAATCTGCTGACAACACACAGAAATGACTAACACTATTTGCCTTAGTTTTTATGACAGCTTTCATTTCTTTCCTTGACTTACTCCTAAGTGCTCTACCACTAATTTGGTAAATACTAAGCAGTACAATTAGTTCTCATGCATGGTAATTGTCCTGCTATATTCCTAAGGCTAAGATGTTAGACAGGTACAGCGTTTTGCACTTTGAAACACCAAAAGACACAGTCTTGTAATCCTTGAGGACCTACAAGTTTAAATAAACAGAAACAGAACTAAGCCATGTTAAACACGTAGTTTACTTTAAGAAAGCCAGGAAGCAACGGAAAAATATAGCTGACCCTGTGTAGCAGATAGCATGATCATGGCAAAGAAAAGCTAGGTGACTTTTGTAATCACACACTGTATCAATGGCAAAACTAAATACAATGAGGTCTTCAAGAGCCCAGTCTGTGACTTTAACTACCTTACGACAGTTTCACATACAACACAATAGTACTTGCCCACTGGTGATAAAATACTGTACCTGCTCTCTTGCCACTCCTCTGCACAAGCCACTTTGATCATACCTTGACAATTATTGACACATTTTAAAGCATCTGTTGCATTGAACTCAATTCCAAAACCACGATCATGCTGTATTCTTAGGACATTGTCTCCAAACATCATCTCTGGCAGGGAAGGCATGTGTAATTCTTCAGCCAATCTGCATAGAAAAATATAATAAATGATAAATAAAAATATAATAAATAATAAAAATGATAAAGTGAGATCAGTCAGCTATAGCTCAGTGAAAGCAATCTGTTGTGGAGTACATATTCTCTAGACCAAGTACTTTACATGACACCATCAGTATAATTTTACAAAATGTTGTTATTTTCCCAGTTATTCATCTGACTGGAACTGCTGAATCATTGATCTGAAGTGATTTTTCCACCTTAAGATTCTTCCTAAAGCTTTCCTTCTCCATCAGGCTAATACAAAAGCCTCATACACAGGGAATCAAAAAATGTGCAACAAGCATGAAGTAGCAGATTTCAACCTGTTGCAGACAAACCCCTGGATGGTCCATGAACTGTTTTTGCAGGTGGCCTAAGAGAGGTTTTATGAAAGAGCAGACTGTCAGCAAGTTTAAATTCACTATGCAGTGGTCCATACTTTCATCTTTGGAAGCTTACAAAAAAAAGAGGCTGAAAACAACCCTGGCAGAGTATGCTGAAAGTAAAATGCAGAAGACATTTCTTTGCTCTGCTACTTTCCCAAGCTTGCAGAGGACATATGCTGGTATTTGTAATCTCTAAGCATGAAAGCCACATACCTATACTGCATGAACTGAATGAGCATGATCCCTGCAGAAAATCTGAAGCTATCCTACCTCACTTTTTGTTTTATATCCATTTTTATACCTATATTATATAAAAATAAATACATACATATTGAGCTTTATACACACACTGAGCTTATTTAGAAAAGACTTCATATACTTCTACGATTTCCTCCCTACCACTAAGTGCTTTATTTGTCAAGATTAAAGAGAAAAAACATGGCATCTGAAGAGAATAAAACTCTAGGAAATACAACTAATTGAGGAATATACAACATGGGGAGAAAAAAAAGCATCCTGCTCACAACTTTTGTATTGCTAATAATGCATTCCTGAACAAAAGTGGTTATTTCTATAATCCTGCAAATGAAAGAACATTATTTACTGCTCTCTATTCTTACTCTTATTATATTGGTCTCTTCTCCCACATGCTTGTTGACAGGATGAGGGGAATGGACTAAAGTTGTGCCAGGGGAGCTTTAGGTTGGATATTAGGAAGAACCGAAAGGGTTGTTAAGCATTGGAATGCCCTGGGAAGTGGTTGAGCCTCCATCCCTGGAGGTATTTAAAAGACATTTAGATGTAGAGCTTAGTGATATGGTTTAGTGGAAGACTGGTTAGTGTTAGGTCAGAAGTTGGACTGGGTGATCTTGGAGGTCTCTTCCAACCTAAGCGATTCTGTGATTATGCTAACCAAACGGAAACATAGCAAATTTGTAGACCTTGAAAGTATGATCCTATGCTTTTCCCAGAGAAGGTGGCACTTTTCCATTTTGAGTGCCCCTCAACCTGAAAAGACCAACCCCAGGACAGGAAGAAGTTGTGTAGCTATGGCTTTTTTAATCCTTCACATCTGCAGAGGTTGCCAAGGGACCTTTGTGATTTCTGCTTGACAGAAATAATATTTCTACAAGTAATAATGATGTTCTCCAAGCAATAAAGAAGGCAAAATGCCAAAAGAAATGCATTATTAAAAAGATGCTGACTAAAAGCACTTGCAACTAGATAGTTTTTGACCTAGCAAATTGAAATGGAGGAATTGTTTTGGATATCTCATGTTAGATACTAACCCCTGCACATAAACAGCTCATTCTGGATTTTTCTTCCCCACCCTGCAAAATCCTCTCAATTCTTTCAAGCTTGCATTGTAACCCTTGAACCTTTATTTTTCTGCCTTTTTCAACATATTCTGAAATCTTTACATCCCTGAAAAGGGATAAAGGTACTTTTTGAAAGTTACAGAGGTAACTGTTGATTTTAGAACTACTACAGTTAAAGAAACTGAATAGAACAGAAGATGAATACAACACGTAATTTGGCTTCTAGACTGGCAGGTTCTAGACTCTCTCTTGTTTATAGATAATGAAAAGAATTAACACCCTCCTGAGCTTAAGAATAATGATCTTCATTTTTAAGGGTAACATCTTGCCCAAAAAGTCTTCACAAACTTATCAGAAAAATGGGGTATTGTAATAAAAGTCCTTCTGCTGCAGAACACAGGCACAGCTTAACTGAATGTTGAATCCTCTTTATATAGGAAGAAGTGAAACACAGGATTCAAATCTTTTTTTTTTTTTTACCTGTAACTGCAAGAACTACAGCACAATTAGTTAAAAGTATTTAGTGAGAATAGATGGAAGAACATATCAATTTACACGTTTTGACACAGATATAAAAATAAAAAATATATTATGATGGTGTTATAATATATAAAGTTTATGTAGCTTAATATAATATAGAAACAAAGTGTAAAACTCCATACCAGGGAACTTCAGCAAACAAATTTTCCTTGGACAAACTGAAAACAACCTGAATAGTTACCTTTAACAAAACTAACAAGATTTCTGTGTATTAGATCAGAAATTAGAACTGAAATCAGTATCTGTCAAAAACAGCTGCCACTGAGGTCAATTTAGCACTCAATAGCAGAAGTGTTCAGTTCCACATTAGCAAATCTGACTTAAGTACTTGATGCTGACACAGCAGCATTTTCTGCAGCAGTTGAATGGAAATTGCTGGTAGAAGTAAGGCGCAGGCATCAATTTTTAATGAACTACGCTGAAATAAGCATTACCGTAAGATGGTTTAGGAGACTGGTGATCGCATTTAAAGGTATCTTAACGTCCCTTAAAAGATAATTAAGAAAAGCAAGCTTCTAGTCAGGGAGCTTCAGGTCCAGGCCTCCCAAACCGTTACGCATCGCTAAAAACAACATCTGCAACCCAAACCACGCCGGCTTCCCCCGCCAGAGCATCCTCGCAGGAGAGAAAACCGAGCAAGACGACGACCAAGCGAGGCTCCGGCGCGGACAGGGCCTCCCCCCCGCACCCGCAGAGAGGGCCCATGCTGCCGGGGCCCGCCTCACCTCTCGGCCTGCGCCGACTTCATGATGTGCGTGCGGGCGGCGCTCAGCCGCCACGGCCCGAAGGTGAAGTCGCGCCGGCTGCTCTGGAAAACGGGGTGCATGGCGCAGCCGCCGGGAAGGGCCCGCAAGGGGCGAGGCGAGGCGATGTGATGTGAGGCGGCTCTGCCCGGCTCCCTGCCGCAGCCCTAACGGCAGCGACGGCGCCGCCGTAAGCGCCTGCCCCTTCCGGCAGCGGCTGGGGGCGGCGCCTCCCGCCCCGCCCGGCGGTGCTGGTCGTCGCCTCGGGGTGGTTCATGGACCCCCTGTGTCCGTATGGACACGGGGGTGAAGGCATCCCGCGCTGGTTGGTTGTGCTCTGGAGTGTTGTCTACAGGGGATCTTCAAAAAGCGCCAAAATTAAAGCCAGAATTCCTGTAGAAACCCCTTGGTACCGCTGGCTGTGAAGGGGGTAAAACCCTTCCGGGATGCACGAAGAGGGGGCAGTCCCGCTTTTCTGCATCGCCGGGGAAGGCTGGCATTAGGGATGCACAAGCACAGGACCTAGGCTGTCCTTTGCACCTCCAAATATACCTCTTTGCTTCTTGGGAAAGGAAAAACACCCCTTGCAAAATCCATGGTAAAACACCTTCTGTATTACTTTTAATAGTCCTCAGGGGGGGGATAGAAGGTTAACAATGGAGATGTGCCCCTCTCTATGTGACTGACTTGTCCCACATGCTTGGGTGAGTGATTTCTCCTGCTGTGGAAAATGGATTCCTGGGTTTAAGCCAAGCCTCTGAGCCTTGAACAGGGCTCTGAGGTGCCACAGTGGTGGGACGCACAACTCTGTCCCCCCTGGAGCTGAGGAGTCCTGGGGCTTACCAAGGATGATAAACCAAGCAGAGCCAGGCTTTGACTACAGGAATCCTAGAACCATTAGGGTTGGAAAAGCCCTCCAAGATCATCTGGTCCAACCATCCCCCTTCCACCAATGTCACCCACTAGACCATGCCCCTAAGCACCAGGTCCAACCTCTCCTTAAACACCTCCGGGGATGGTGACTCCACCACCTCACAAGGCAATCAGTTCCAATGCCTGACTGCTCTTTCTGAGAAGAAATGTCTCCTCATTGCCAACCCAAACCTTCCCTGGCACAACTGGAGGCCATTCCCTCTAGTCCTGTCACTAGTTATCTGTGAGACTGACCCCCAGCTCCCCACACCTTCCTTTCAGGTAGTTGTAGAGAGCAATGAGGTCTCCCCTGAGCCTTCTCATCTCCAGACTGAACACCCCCAGTTCCCTCAGCCGCTCCTCACAGGACTTGTGCTCCAGGCCCTGCACCAGCCTCATAGCCCTGCTCTGGACACGCTCCAGGGCCTCGATGTAGCGAGGGGCCCAAAACTGAACGCAGCACTCGAGGTGCAGCCTCACCAGAACCGAGAACAGGGGGACGATCACCCCCCTGCTCCGGCTGGCCACACAACCCCTGAGAGGAGCACGCCAAGCAGCGCCAGCGGAGCCGCGGCGACCCCCTCCCATGAGCAAGGCGGGGGCTGTCGGAGGGAAAATGGAGGGAGGTGGCGGTGGGTGGGGAGAGGGAGGGAGAGGGGGCGAGCGCGGCGGGGCGGGGCGGGGGCATGGCGGGGGGAGGCTGGGCGCCGCTCCGCGGGCGGCTGCGGGGGGTCCGGGCCGCCCTCAGCCGCCAGCTCCCGCCCTGGCGAAGACGGCGGCGGGTGAGTGCGGAACGGGGCAGGGCGGGGGGCGGCGGGCCCCGCTCTCCGCCGAAGGGGCGGGCGGGGACGGTGCGGGGCTGCCCGAGGCGAGGCGAGGCGAGGCGAGGGATGCCCGGGGGAAGCCGGCCCCCGCCGGGCCCCCGGCCTTTGTTCGCTGCCGGAGGGAGCGCGGGGGCAAAATGGAGGCGCTCCCCGAGCCCTCGGGCCGCCCCCCTCAGCCAGTCGCGGCTGGGTGCCCGTCGGGTTTTCTGGGCGCTTTCTCCTCCTCCTCCTCCTCCTCCTCGTCCCGGTGAGGCGGGACCGGGCGCAGCCCTGAGGGGATGGGGCGGCCGGCGGGCACCCGCGGAGGGAAACTTGAGGGGAAGAGCCAAAGAGCTAAGCTGCGCTTTACAAAATACGGCCCGATAATGCCTTCACTTAGGCTCTAAACTAGTTAAAAATCAAGGAAAAGATGGCTTGGCAGCCTGACATTGCTGCCGAGGGGCCCAGCAGCCTCACGGGTGGAGGGGCGCTGGGTGTGCTGGCCGGTTGGGAGCAGCGGGTGGGCACGGCCACCGCTGAGGTAACTCCCTTCAGTCCCGGATTTCCAAACATCAACTTTGCATTGAAAAGTTGAAACCAAACTCTTTGTTGTGTTCAAACCCTGAGATGGGACAAAATGAGGTTGCGAGTCAGTGGGGTGGGTGCTGAGCACTGAGAAATCACAGGTTAAGGGTTCTCAAACGTTACTATAGGGTGGACCACAGCTTAATGCAAAGTGCCTTTTGAACCTGCTGTACGGAAGGCTACTTCACCCTCATCCTTCAATACTGGTGATAAACCTGAATTGCTGATGTAGCTAAGATGATTGTGAACATGGAGAAGTGAGGAGAGTACGTGCAATGATCCCTGAGTCTTTGAATGTTACTTGGCAACTGTTAAGAAAGTCAGCAGGGTATGACTAGCCAGGCATCCACAGACTAGCAACAAATGCTGCATAGGCAGAATACTGGGTAAAAATAGGGATAAACAGGCAGAATTAAAAAAAAAAGGGGGGAGGGAAGGGGGGATGGAATGTTTAAAAAAAGTGTATTTTAAGTAAGAGAAACAAAGACTAATAGTTACATTATTATTGTTTCTTCATGGCCTAGATGTAGGGACTGCAAGATGTACAGCTCATAAGTATGGCTTAGAAACAAATAAGATACTAAGAAAAAATCTAAATAAAATGTGTTAATTTTGTTTCCTTTCCCTTCTTTTTTTTTGTCTTTCAGATAGTTTATTCGGTTTTCTAGGCTTGGCTCTGTCATTGACCTCTAGTGTACCTGTAGGCAATCTCCTGTCCCTTCACTTCCCCATCTAAAATGGTTTCCTGCATCCCACAGGTAAAGTTGAATTAATGCAGACAAATGGTCTCTCCTCTTTGGAGAGGGTGTGAGGAAATCTTGCCTGAATGTTTCTGAGTGGTGGTGTTCTACTTCTAGCTGCTCAGCATGTCTTGGCTGCTCCCGCTCTGTGCGCTCTGACCATGAGCAGCAATTCCTCCCTCAGCAACGCGAATGGCCTGAGGAACCTCACCACGCAGGAGGACGGCGCAGTCAGAGTCACTGAGTCCATTGCTATAATCGTCATTGCTATTTTCATCTGTTTGGGCAACCTTGTGATTGTCGTCACCCTCTATCGGAAGTCTTACCTTCTCACGTTGAGCAACAAGTTTGTGTTCAGTTTGACCCTCTCCAACTTTCTGCTCTCCGTACTGGTGCTACCTTTTGTTGTCACCAGCTCCATCAGGCGGGAATGGATCTTTGGAGTCGTTTGGTGCAATTTCTCAGCCCTGCTCTACATGCTGATCAGCTCAGCCAGCATGCTTACTCTTGGACTCATAGCTATAGATCGGTAAGCAGCTTTTTATAATGAATGATAACTGATTGCCTAGTCATTCTACAGGGTGCCTTGTTGGCTGTTCAGAGTGGAGAAGCAACGCACTGGATCACACTGAGTGCTGTTGCAGTGTCATTTTCCTTCAGCCTCCTGTAATATTTTGACAGTGAACAGAAGAAAGTGTTGTCATGATATAAACTGACAATACATTTAGATTTTTTTGATGTTAATGATGCTGTAATAATGTATTACCTGAGAAACAAGAAGTAATGGTTTAAAATTCCATATTATACTCTACACGTATAGGGACAGATTTAATAGATATATTTGTGCCTTCAGCTGAGTTTTACAATCTTGTCTATAGACAGATTGTAAAGATCTATATTCTTATATGCAATTATTCTTAAAAGAGTCCCTAAGGCTTGAGGTTTGGAGAAAAGAGCTTGTTCTATAAGTAGAACTATATATCAACATAATTAAAATATGCTCTTTTTTACTGTACATCTCATGTGCTCCTGTTGACTTTTTCTTTTTTTTTTTGTTTTTTTTTTTGTGTCCTCCAGGTACTATGCTGTCCTGTACCCTATGGTTTACCCAATGAAGATTACAGGCAACAGAGCAGTTGTAGCTCTTGTGTATGTGTGGCTACACTCCCTTATTGGCTGCCTCCCTCCTCTCTTTGGCTGGTCATCTTTGGAATTTGACCAGTTCAAGTGGATGTGTGTGGCCGCCTGGCACAAAGAGGCTGGTTACACTGCCTTTTGGCAGATCTGGTGTGCACTGCTGCCATTCGTGATCATGATGATCTGCTATGGGTTCATATTCCGTGTGGCTAGGATTAAAGCCCGCAAAATCCACTGTGGTAGCGTTGTCATTGTGGAGGAGGACTCCCAGAGGAACGGGAGGAAGAACTCCAGCACCTCCACGTCCTCCTCGGGCAGCCGAAGGAACGCTTTCCAAGGGGTTGTCTACTCTGCGAACCAGTGCAAAGCCTTCATAACCATCTTGGTTGTCATCGGCGCTTTTGTTATCACATGGGGGCCTTACATGGTAGTAATTACATCGGAGGCCCTTTGGGGAAAAAACAGTATTTCCCCTGCCTTGGAAACATTAGCTACATGGTTGTCCTTTTCCAGTGCCATTTGCCACCCCTTAATTTACGGACTGTGGAACAAAACGGTGCGCAAGGAACTTCTAGGAATGTGCTTTGGGGATCGGTATTATCGTGAGTCCTTTGTTCAGCGGCATAGGACTTCGAGGTTATTCAGTATTTCCAATAGGATTACAGGTAAGACACATAGCTGCAAAAGGTACTCTTTTAATACCATTAAGAGCAATGTTGGTGTGTGTTTGGCATGTTTCAGAGCTCTGTAAAAAGTGGGATGTTTCTGGAGGCTTCAGCAGTCTTGTTCGGTTTATCACAGACACTTGGAAGAAGAATGTTTTTTTGTGGGAGTTAACCTCTTTCTCCTACTCTAGTAAAATTTTTCCTTCTAGAGAAGACACAGTGATGAAGTTGATAAAAAATTTATTTTTTTTCTATGAAACTTTTCTTTTCACATACCTGCCATTTCACTCTATCTAGATTTGAGCACTACCAGCAGTACATTTTGCAGCACATAAAGCACACTAGCTTTATGCTGCAAGTCTTTGTGATT